TTTTTTTCGATTCTTAATATATATATTTTATCCTCTCACATAAGTCTAACATTCAACATAAAATATTATTTTTTATATTGCTATACCTCTCATTCTTTTGCTTCTATATATATTTGTAGGTCCTATTCCTCTGAGTATTTTCAACATCTCAACATTAAAAGTAGTAAATTTGGATGATAATTTATTATCTGGTACTCTCCCCGACGACATGTGCACTGGAAATGAAGTTCTCAATATGATATATTTGGGAAACAATCATATTTATGGACGACTTCCATCAAATTATTCTTCGTGCCAACAACTTGAGGTATTGTCATTGAATAACAACAATATTACTGGAACCATACCACAAGATATTGGAAGTTTGCAAATACTTCGAGAGTTGTATCTTTATGACAATAAGTTGACAGGTATGAAATTATATCTATTCGAGCAATCTTATATTTTATACCTCGCGCTTTTTTTTCTTTGTTTTTTTTTTCTCTTCCGATCCTTTGAAAGGTGATTATTTATTTATATGTAGGTGCAGAGGTCAGATCAATATAAAAGTAAAAATATATTGTATAGAACAAGAGTGGTACTTAACTAGATTTCCATTTTATTGTTACCGTTTTTATTTTTATTGATTGATTTATTTATTTTGTTATAATGTATATTAAAAAAGTGGGTTAAATCATAAGCAAGATACATTTTTTATTAATGATTTATTGTTTTCAATTTTTTATACAAAAGAATATTTATATGCTATCAATTTTGTCATGTGTATTTTTTATTTTTTTAATGTCATAACTAAGACCATAGAAAAATATATATATATATATATAAAACTATGGCTTGTTTCTCTTCAAGGTACAATACCCGAAAAAATTGGAAGTTTAAGGACCCGTTTGGATTGGCTTTTGGCATGAACTTATGGCTTCTACTTCTAAAAAAAGCAGTTTGCACCTGTTTGCATTGGCTTCTGTCTAAAAGCAGAAGCAGCTTTTGAAGCTGAAAAGTGTTTTTTTTCAGAAGCACATTAGGGGTAGCTTCTGAAATAAGTAGAAGCACTTTTTATTTAAAATTATTGTTTTATCCTTTATAATAATAATAAATACAATACGATAATATAATATAATATAAAAATAAATAACTTATATATTATATTCTAATAAAAATTAAAAAATATAATTAATTTATTATTGTTAATTTATGTATTATATTTGGATTAAAATTTAAAATCTAAATAGAAGTATATAAACTTTTTAATTATACTTAAATTACTAAATATAATTTATAAAATTTTAAAATAAATTATAAAATACAAATTATTTAATGTTATATTGTAATTTTATGTTTAATCGATATATTATCCTTAAATTAAAATTTTAAAACATAAATAATCAAAATTTAAAAGTACAATTTTTATACTTTAATTTAAAATATTTAAATATAATTTATAAAATTTAAATTAAATTATAAAAGTGTTATAGAAAAATACTACTCCCTCCGTCCACTTACAATGTTTACATATTTCTATTTTGGGACGTCCAATTACAAAGTTAACATTTCATTAAATACCCTATTTTTTTCACAAATACTCTTACTTTACATCGCATCATTATTTTTACACAAAAAAGTAAGGGCAAAAATGTCATTACACTACTTTTAACTACTCACTGTAATTAAAATACTATTATTTCTTAAACACCGCGCCAAAAGTAAATGTAAATATTGTAAGTGGACGGAGGAATTATTATATTAACCGCATGTCCTTTTAAGTAATTTTAACAGTTTAAAAATACTTTCAACTATATAACGTCAAAACAGTATTTTACGAAAAGAGCTTTTATTTTATTTTATTGTAAGATGAAATTCTATCTTAGAGACCTATTTTTCTAATAGAAATCAATTCATATGACTTAGAAAAGGATATGTTAAAAAATATTTATCTTGATTATATTATTTGTAACTTTACATATAAAATAATTTAAAATTTTTTTGTTAAAAAGTTGTTTATATCTTTCAAAGAAGTAAGTTTTAATAAGTGATGTGAAAATGAATATATAAATAAACTGATTTGGTGATCCAACAGTGATCCCTGTAGCAACTGTCTCAAGATCTTCTTCATCTAGGTACACTAAAAGAGGATTTGGGGTTTTTTTTTCAAAAGTTCCAACACCACATCGACTAAATCTAGTGTTAAACTTGTTCAAAAACTTGTCCACTAATTAATATAAAGTTTATATTATGTTTAATTTGAACAAATTTAGCTAATTAATTCATATTTATTTTATCATATATACATACACAACCATAAACATACATATTATATGTACAAATATTTGATTTGTTAATATATGTATAAATATATACACAGGAGAGATACCATCGAGCATTTTTAACATCTACACATTGAAAAATATATTGCTCAACAATAATAAATTATCGGGTATTCTTCCTGATAATATATGTTGGGGACTTCAGCCACTCCGTCAGTTTGTCATTCATGACAATGAAATACAAGGACACATTGGATCAAAATTTGCTTCATGTTCCGATAAAAAAAAAATAAAATTTTGCTTCATGTTCCGATCTTTTTGTCCTATCTATGTCAGCCAACAACTTTACTTGATTCATCCCAGATGAAATTGGTAGTTTGCAAAAGTTTCAAAAGTTGTATCTTAATGAAAACAAATTAACTGGTAAATAATTTTTTACATGTTTATAAAAATTTATAATTAATATATGATTTTGATATATACTTTTCTAAATATTAATAGGTTCTATACCATCCAACATTTTCAACATCTCGACCATAGAATTAATAAACCTCAGCGACAATCAATTATCGGGTACTCTTCCCGATAATTTGTGCTTTGGAGTTCCGAATATCAAGTCGTTGTTCATATACAATAATCAGCTGTCGGGAAAACTGCCATCAAATTTTACTTCATGTGAGCAACTTCGATTTCTCGCATTGTCGGGGAACCGTTTTGTTGGAATCATACCACGAGGAATAGTGAACTTGGATAGGCTTGAATGGTTGGAGCTCAGCCGCAATAACATTACAGGTATGATTTTTCATGCTCTTGATTTTTACAAATGTTAACTTAAAATTTTGAAACATATATTTATTGACTATTACGTATATTATATGCTACATTATAATGATTAATAGTTTTCAAAATATAATTATCACTATGTATTTATATATTCCTTCAAGATATAATGTTATATTAACTCAACAAGGATCATATATATTTGTTTCTTATATAGAATTAAGTAGCTCATTATTTAATTGTTTGTATTTAATTATATCATGAATAAGAATAAAAAGATATTTTGATATGTATTTAATTTTGTTTGGCCTACAAGAGATTTGATATCCATGGATTATTTGCAGGTAGAATACCTTCTACTATTTCGAATATGTCAACACTGAGTTATATGAACTTTGAGTACAACATGTTGAACGGAGAGATTCCACAAACCTTATGCAGTATGGGTGCACTCAAATCTCTTGTTCTATCGAAAAATAGCTTGGAAGGTACACTACCCGAATGTTTAGGAAACTTGAGCAAACATATGGTTGTGTTGTTCTTATCTACGAATCACTTCCACGGCGCTATTCCAACTACACTTTTTACCAATGGTTGTTCACTAAAGTATCTAAGTTTGAGTAACAACCAATTATTCGGAAGCTTGCCTCTATCCTTGGCTAATTGCGCGCAATTAGAGGCTTTCGATGTTGGAAATAACAACATACACGACTTCTTTCCTATTTGGATGGAAGATTTTCCCAAACTTCGAGTTCTTAGCTTAGCTTCAAATAGATTTCATGGAACCATACCCGAGTCGAAGAAGGAGATTTCATTCCCCATGTTGAAAATATTTGATATTTCCAACAATGATTTCACGGGCTACTTATCAACATCTTATTTGAAGCATTGTGGGGACTTATTGGATGCTAAGGAACAACAATCAATCTATTTTAGCCTCTTCTTTTCTGAAGACACAGCGTTCGTGTATTGGTGGTTTCAAACTTCTATCATTCTAAAAGGTGTGGCGACAAACTATGCGCGCATACAATTAGACTTTACTATGATTGATTTGTCGAACAATAAGTTCTATGGAAGTATTCCCTATTCCTTTGGAGATCTTGCAGCTCTCCGGAACCTTAACTTGTCTCACAACAATCTCAGTGGCCGTATCCCTTCAAGTTTGAGCTCTCTAAGTGTGCTAGAGGCATTGGACTTATCATCGAACCACTTAACAGGGGAAATTCCAATGCAGTTGACGAATCTATCCTTTCTGGCGAAGTTCAATGTTTCGTACAACAATCTTTCTGGAGAGATACCTCAATCTGGAGGTCAATTTGTGACATTTGAAAGTAGTTCGTTTGTTGGGAACACTGAGCTATGTGGACATCCATTGACGAAGAAATGCCAACGTCAAGAACCACCGGCGAAATCTGTTGAAGGTGATGATGGTAAGAACGAAGGGATATTCGATGGGATGACATGGCAAGGTGTTCTCATGGGATATGGCTTCGGACTATTAATTGGAGTCGCCCTTGGATTCGTATATCTCTAGGTAAATACTACAATGCTTGCTTTGGATTCATTACATATTTAGTTGATAGTAATAGCTTGTCGATTACATATTTAATTTGATTGTCTATTTAACATGTAACAACATCGAGGCTCAAGAGCCAGAACATCTCGTGAAATTAGTTGGTTGCATACTTGTTCGAAGGCTGCGTTGACGAGGTAATTTTATGGCCTATCCATTTCTGATACATCCTACAAGACTTCTGTTAACTTATATTTTCGATCTTATGTACTGTTCATCATAATTTCTCGAATGGTTTTATGTCCATTGCAATGGAAACTTGTAATGTGTGTAAGGATTTAGATTGAATAGTTCTTGGTCAACTAAGCAGTTCACAAAAGAATTCTACCTTTTTGTAAATAAATCATATACAGACAAATACAAAATTTGTTCTATGTTTAAGTCACTTATAGACCACAGGGGCATCTAGCCCACAGACTATGCCTCGTCTGCAATACACTTTTTGGACAGACTATCCTCATATGCCTAATTCCTCCATCCCATGATGTCCCGGAATGGTATTTGCCGTTGTTTCGACTGATTCCGAGAGAGATGCCTCCGTGGCCAGGCGACAAAGGTGTTTTGAACAAACAAGAAGTCATCAGGTGAGAGCTTTTCTGATACGAAGTGTGGCTCGAATATACATTAGACCTTCCGAGGGAAATTGCCTCGTCGAGCAAAGAGCCCGGGCTCGGATAAGGATAACTACAGCTGCTCGACTGGAGAACTTCGAAAACCAACAGTTTGTATCAGTTCAGTGAAGATGCAATAAGACTCACTTACGAAACAAAGTAAAATACATGGATTTTGATCGCATTACTCTACCAATGGCTCACCTAGATTTTCTTCTAGCTTGTTATCTCTGCATTGTTTCACCATAAGCAGTTGACAACGTAAATTGAAAACCTGCCGGATCCGAAAGTCAACATATAACCAAATATTTAAAAACAAAATCGATTTAGGGTTCAGAGTTTCAAGGTTTTTACCTCTTCTTGAAGTAAGGAAGGAAGATTTTCCACGGAAACTAAGCAAGATATCTCGTCCAATACCCTTTGGTCGATGATACCAGACCATGTCTTCGGGGGCAATGCAAGTAGAAGCACTGTCAAGACATCAGTGCAGAAGCTTGCAGCAACATTAGGCGAATGATAACACTTATCTGTAGATTGTTTGATTTTAAACATATTTTTATCGGGAGACAAAATCGAGTCAATGTGCTTGTAAAGGTTGGTTTCTTCCAGTTGTTTCAACACCTCCTCCTGAAAAATTAAGCTGTGAATAAAGTGTAGCGGAAATTTTTGATGAGCAGTATGTTGAAACTATTGCTTTACCTTGATAATAAGCCTTCCTTTATCTGTCTCTTTGCTATGAATCTCTGCCACCCATTTTACGAAGTCCACAAAATCTGATGGCAGAGATGTAAGAACAGTGGACAACAGGTCATTGACATCCTTCAAAGTTTTTGAAGTTAATAACACTGGCATGTCGTCCATCAAATATTTCGCTGTAACAGTCCAACTCTTGTGATTGCAGCTCTGCAAATAAGTATTTTCACTTTGTTTATACTACATATTGATTAATAATCTAAAACAATATATATTCCAAGTAATTTCTAATACGAGTAACTAAGTGATGTTTTAAATCTAAAAGGTAATGAAAAATACTACAAAATATCTTATTCTCAGAACAACTCAGCTCTTCAATGGTATCATACCAGGGAATGGAGCAGACCCACAGATCTCTGATGACTCGACACAAGCATGAACCTGCATGGCATACAGACTCGTGCAGTTAGATAATATAGATGGATAACAAGGATGAAAGCGAATACAACGTATTTGTTCTTTGCAGCAGAAATAAGGGATTAACAGAGTAAAATGAATAGCAGTGATGAGGAGCACATACGTACCCCCTGTGTTGCCCAGTTGATTCGTCAACAGTATTCATCGCTTCCCAAAGAAGGCTGAGGGGAACCCAATGAGGAGGATATTTGAACCTGGCAACATCAAGAATCAATGCCATATCTCGTTCAGCATGGTATCCACCAATAGGGGAAAAATGACCTGTTCCAGTCTGCTATAATGTAAGGGTAAGGACAATCATGTGAATCGAACTTATCAGAGATCAGAAAGTCTACGAAAAGAAATTTCTTGATGCACAGAATGCACAAAAATGAATTCAGACATAAAGGAAATCAAAGCAATTTAAAATCTGATAAATAAAATAACAGTATGAGCAAATTAAAGTGAATATAGACCTGGTTAAAGGGAAAAATGACCTGTTCCAGTCTGCTATGATTTAAGGTAAGGACAATCATTTGAATCGAACTTATCAGAGATCAGACAATCTACTAAAAGAAAATTCTTGATATGCAGAATGCACAAAATGAATTCAGACCTTACAAGGAAATCAAAGCCACCTAAAATCTGATAAAGAAAACAACAGTATGAGCGAACTAAAGTGAATATCGACCTGGTTAAATACTCCTCTACGATAAGAAGAGATCACATGACAATCATCAGAGGAAGAACACGCCATGACATACTTCCGAAAATCTTGTATGGTGCTCTGGTTTGTCCGGAAAGCTTTCACATTACCTCCGGCACAGTGTGCCAAGCACACAACTTTCCCGAACGAGATACCCTTATCCTTAACCCGTTCCAAAGGCTCGCAGCAATCCAACATATTTTCATCAAACCATCTCCAAGGCCCTGAAATTGCACAAGTCACTGGTACATATATCCAAGCATGTAACACATACATTATTGAACATTACAAAGTAGAAACATGTATTCCATTTACCTTTCCACTTTCTGCCAGGATCAATGGAAAGGGCATTCAAGACCATCGATAGGCTAGCCAAACCGCAATACGCAGGTTCAGATTGTGTCTGGAAATAAGAAATCAACTTGAAAAAGCTTTCCATGGTTCCATTCTGAATGGCCTCTGTAAAAAGCTTCTGCAGTGCAGAACACCACCTACATAGTTAACATCCAACGATCCAAGCAAACACAACTTCCACTAATCTAAATTCGACCTAAGCTTCTCGCATGGCGCCACAATTAAAAGTCAATCCATACAATTTTATTTTATTTCATTTTTTTAAGCAGGTGTCTTTGATCGAATTCCGTTAAATTGGGCGTCATCCTAAGTTCTCTAGCCCTAAAATGGCCATAACCCGCAATTGCAACCTACGAACACTTGTTTAGCTCGCCGTATATCACCACGTCGATTTACACAACCGCAAAACACCACCAAACCCCCAGAATTGGGAAGAAAAGGAAACCCAAAGAAACCAAGGAAATTCATATTTCAGATAGAAGATCACGGCAAAGATCAATACCTTTCCTTCGGAAGAAGAAAAATCAACCGCAGGAGGAGAAGGCAAAATTCGCCTGTACAAGCTCGCCATCGCCATTTGCAGCCTAGGGTTTCCGCCGATTAAGACAGTGTTGTGCTTGTAAGTTTGAATGTAAATAGTGTCTAGATGTTTGATAGGATGTTCTTGAATGAAAATTTTATTTTTATTAAAATATTAAAAATAAAAATAAATATTTGGAGGGAAAGAAAATCTTTGTAAAATATCCACAAGATAACACGGCCGAAATGACCTAATCCCCAAATTGACTTCCCCGTATTGTAAAGCCGCCTTACTCAACTTCAAGGGTAGAATAGTACTTTCACACCACATCATATAGCTTCAAAAAAATGTGTGTATATAGATATATATATATATATGGAAGAAAGAATAAAAACAAAGCCGAATTCAGGCAAATTTCATTAATACAGAATGGCATACATTAGTTATTCACGTATTTTTTTATTTTTATTTTTCCCGTTTCTGAATTCCCGGGCCTCAAAAAACCCTTACACATAAATCTATGGCAACTAATTATCTTCCCAACAACGAAGAAGACGAAGACGACACAGAAGTTAATCATGTACAGGTTTGAACTAGGGGATCATCACCTGATCACTCGACCAAGAATCTGTATACATATACATATATATATATGTGTATGTACGTATAGTTCGCCATTTTTTTATGCAGGCAAAGAAAACCCTCTAGCAACCTAAAAACCTTCCCCCAAAAAAAAAGAAAAAAAGAAAAGACCAAAATACCAAAATGACCGTAAAGGGCAGCCGGATGAGTCTCCGATCACTCAGCATTGTTATCGGCGGCGGGCTTGGGCGGCGCCGGCGGCAATGCAAGGTTGATCTCTGAACCGGAGTCGCCGCCGTTGGAGGTGCTGCTGGCCCTGGACCGGCGGCCGGACCCGTCGGCGTCCTTGGACTTCTTTCTGCGGGCCTTCCGGGGGATGTCGGGGAGGCTCCGGGAGGAGACGGAGGAGCCGTCGTTGGAGTCGCCGGAGGATTGGTGGGAGTGGTGCTTTCTTGCCTGTCGGGATTTACTTGGGTCTTTCGATTTCGATTTTGGGGGATCCGATGATTGGTCAGAGGTTTCTTTGTTGCTGGAAGCTGCCTTCTGGGCCCTCTTCGATTTCGTGTCTGCCGATGATCAAGGTTCGATTTTTTATAATTTTTTAGCAGAGAGAGAATTGGATATAGAGAGAGAGAGAGAGAGAGAAATGGATAGGACCTTCGGACACCCATTGGATGTCGGGCTGTTCCTGTCTAGCGTCGGTTGGGGGAGCTAATGGTGCTGATTTGAATTCTTTCATCTGTTAGAAAAGATCAGACATTCATGAATATGGTTGTCGTTTTTCTTACATTCTTGGGGTGGATCGAAGATGATTTAGAAGTGAATTATGAAATATATATATATGTACCCAGCTTGGGGCTTCTGTGGAAGGGCCACCATCCCATCCAATATGAGCAACGTGCTTCACATCTGTGGGGAACCCAATCTGGATATCGTCGTCTTTCTCATCTGGATAACATTAGAACATCCATTGATGACGTCATCTCTTACAAAAAATGATGAATAATGTATATGTATATGTGCTGACCGAAGATCTGGGAAAAGTATTTGAGGCCTTTGAGAATCTTGGTCTTGGATGCCATCCTCGCAGTGCCTTGCTGTAATAATTAATATCCTTCTTCCTCTTTTTCTTCTATATATATTTATAGGTATGTAGTTAAGCAAGCTTAGAACACAAAATCTAACAATAGAGAAACCCTAATTTTAATTTGCAGCGTCGTTATTAATGAATGAATCCCCAATGAAGAATGCACAGCACCAGCAACACTTTAGAGAGCCAGAGCCTGCCCTGTCTGGAAAGAGAAATGGTGTGTTATGGGTAGACGAGAGAGAAATAGAATCTAGAGAGAGAAAGGGAGGTGAATTCTCTCTGGATTGGGGCTGCAGGCTCTCTTGTGCGTGGGGAGATGCATATATGGTCGGGGAACGATTTGATTTAAGAAGAAGAAGAAGATTGAATCTATGGGATTGGATCGCCGGATGCCGTTGCCACCCAAACCTGATTTATTGATCGCTCAAGCCCCCGAATTCGTCGCCTTCCCCACCCTTTTCTACTGCTGAGCTTTTTTCTGCACCTACAATGGCGGATCGCCCTTGGTTTTTTTTTTTTTTCTTTTTGTTGGCTTTCTTGTAATGTGTATTTTATAGAGGAAAAATATATGGTGAAGATTAACATTGGATCATTTTCAACAAATTAAGTGCCTATAAAGTTAAAAATTCTAATATCCACACAATATATATAGGTAAGTTAGGGTTTGTTTGATTTTTATTTAAATTTTAGTTTAAATAAAATTTTAATACTTCTTTTAGGCTGTGGGTTCTCATAAAAATAAATAAATAAATAATTATATTACTTACTTAAATATAATAAATACATTTTCAATTCATTATGTATTAAACTCATAAATATTTATATTTTTTACTGTAATTCAATATAAAAAAAAATTAGGCACTAAAAATAGCCGTACTATTTTAATAGATCGTAAGAAAGAAGTATAATATTTTATTATAAAAAAATGAAAACCCTAAATACTACCAGAAAATTGCATTTGGCATCGGAAATTTACTTTGGATTTTAAATTACTTTTGAGACCATTTTTAAAGCTTCGGAATAGTGTCCAATAGTAAAATTTGTTATCTTTTCAGTTATTTCAAAATTTTCGAAACTGTAAATTTCATAACCGCATAAGCTTATATAGTTGATTGTTTCGGAATTTCTGAAATAATTTTTAAATATTTAAAAAATTAAATTAAATTTAAAATTGCGTGAGCTTATATATTCTAGGTGTTTTTAATACTAAATGACCCGTTTATTTAGTGATTTTTTAAAAAAATAAAAAAAAAGTAAATATCAGTATTGTATAATAAAAAAATAAATAAAACTTAATATTTTCAATTTCATTACATTTTTACGAAAATGTGGCAAAATAGTGTAATAAATAAAATGATGAAAATAACCTATGGAATACTTAGTTCTCTTTTGTTTAGGGAATTGGATTGGATTTACACTATTTATCCATTTTTTTCTCCAAAAACATCAAATCAAACACCTATTTTTTATTTTTTATATTATACTAAAAATCAATTTTACATTCAAAACATCACATCAACGCCTATTTATATCAAATCATACAACTATTCAAATTCAAAATTTTTACTATTCAAATCCCAATTTAAAATCCAAACCCCCCAAACAAACACACGAGTAGATAAAAGTTTGAAATTTTGAATAATTTTAAAAAATAAAAAAATAAATATCTAATATGATATTTTATAAAAAAAAATAATAAAATAATACTATTTTTTTATTAAAAATTTATTATTGACAAAAAATTCTAAATTTTTTTTAAAATGTCTATAAACCTTCATTTATTTTTTTATGACATGAAAGCCAATCATCTCTATTTTTTAAGTGTGTTTTAGATGAATTCGATTGAACCTAATACCAACTTATGAATTAAGTCCGATAAAATAAATCATGTTAGACAAATTATGTACGAGAGACTAAAAGTATAACAAACATGTCTTTGTTTGGAGTTTCAAATTAATGGTGCTAACCTCTATTTATCATATACTATTTTTTTTTTTTCTTAAATTTCTCACATAAATATAATTTTTTATTTTATTCAGAAAGCAATTTCAATTCAATCTTTTATTATTCTTTAATTTTATATCCCAATTGCACTAATCAATTGATTTTGGTCCAACCAATCAATAAGCCCATTAAAGATTTGTAAGCCCAATTGAAACGGACTAAGGCCCATTAAGAGTAAAAGATCTATGAGAGATTAATCCATATCTGCAAACCCTACCCAGAGCGGCAGAAGTTTGTCACCCTCATCCCTCCTTGGTTCGGCGCCTCCTCTCACAGCACACACGATCACACATCGCAAACAATGGTGAGCTCCGGATGACGATTTTGTTTCAAGATACTACTAATTTTTATCTGTCTCTGTGTTTTATTGTAATATTGATGCTTTCGTGATTTGCTCCATATCCAGCCGTTCAAGAGGTACGTAGAGATCGGAAGAGTGGCTCTTGTCAACTACGGCAAGGACTATGGCAAGCTCGTCGTCATCGTAGACGTTATCGACCATAACAGGGTATGCTTCTGCGATTAATCATTTATAGCGTATTATTGGTACTCTATTGTATGAGAAACCTTTATTGTTTGTTATTTTTTTGTAGCAATTACGCAGTTTGTATGATATTGACTCATTATTCATCTCATCGCTTTTTCGATTTGCGTGACATGGTGCAATTTGCAATTTGGAATTACGCTTGATGTGTTGGTGGTTTGGTTCTGTTTGTCAAAATAGTTTTGGAATCATAAGTGGATAGATCGAATTTTTCCCTGAAAGTAGGCAGCCTGTCAATAATTGGATCACCATATACCTCATTAGAAATTTATTTGGTATATATAATTGCTGCTCGTTACGTCTAGCTGAATTCAAATTATTGTTTAAGCCGGAATAAAGAGATTTCTGTACAAATGTTTCTGACATCAAATACAACTGGGAAGGTATTTGGAATATATATATATATATATATATAGTTTCATTGGGAATTCACTTTTTTATATTTAAAGAATTCGATTTTGAAACTAAGCTGTTGGAAGCACAGCAAGGGTGACTCCTGTTTTTAGTTGGAGATGAGTTTGTTTTAGTTGATAGAAGCAGCGTTTGAACTGCTAGGTTTCTAAATGCTTTGCTCTATCTTTTAGCAGAAACATGAAAGTGTTTTTCTTTTGGAATTTGAAGTTAACGCTTTTCTTCTTTAAAGATTATGTTAAGTCCATACAAGTTATGTTGTGTGATGAGCTGTTGTCGTCGCTGAAAATAAAAATTGTATAATTCTGATTCCGTGATGCAACTATTTTATGATGATTCGCAATTTGGTGGTTTTCTGTGTTGTTTGGATGGAAATTGAAGGTTTGGTGTAACTGTCCGTTTTCCTTGATAGGCTCTTGTTGATGCCCCGGATATGGTACGGAGCCAGATGAACTTCAAGAGGCTGTCTCTCACCGACATCAAGATAGACATCAAGCGGGTTCCAAAGAAGAAGGCTCTAGTAGCAGCAATGGAAGCTGCTGGTGAGTGCTTAGACTTGGAAATCTTGTTATCTTGACAGCATTGACAAACATACTGATAACTTCAATTTAATTACCAGATGTCAAGGGAAAATGGGAGAGCAGCTCGTGGGGAAGGAAGTTGATTGTCCAGAAACGACGGGCTGCTCTGAACGACTTTGACCGATTTAAGCTCATGCTGGCGAAGATCAAGGTATGCCCAATCGTACATATATACTGGGTCGCCTCAATTTAGTCTTAAACGGCAGATCATTGTCATTACATTGTTGTTATAACTATTCTTGCGGTAGCTAGTAGGTCTAAAATTAACTAAATATTTTCCAACCAGACAGCAAACTTATCAGTATTTTGTATTTTTTTCAACAATGCAGAGAGCAGGCCTTGTTCGACAGGAACTATCTAAGCTGAAGAAGGAGACTCTTCTGCATGAGTAGTTACTTATTTTCAATCTATTCGGATTTTGATGCGGGACGTGCAATTTTAACATTGTATCTTATAAACTATTTTCTGGAATTCATCATCTTTGAAATACTTGAAAGTTTTGCAAATTTTCACTACTCGTATCATCAGTTTTGTTAAACTATTCATATTTTCATTCCTGCAATGTATAGGATTTGCTGAATGTCTCAACTTGTTAAGTTGAACAGCAAGTCACTACTTGGCTTGCATTTGGACTTATGAAATTCTTCAAATATTGTGATTTGTGTAAATTAGCAGAGATTTATTTAAATCAATTAAAACAATCTATTTTCTTTCAATGCTGATAGAATATATAAGGTTCGAAATTACATCAAAACATTACACCTCTAAAATAGTTTCACACAAACAAACATGTTTGATATTTCAACCCAATTTCCAAACTTTAGCTACTTAGAAATAGTCATTTTTGAGACTAATCCAGTACTTATTTAACTGTGTATGAGTAAAATGTCATATGCAGATTAATAATTAATAAACCTTATGGGACAAAGCAGAGTTCATAACGAATGAATCTAGAAGATACAGTTTACCGATTTCCGCTGGAATTGTTAAGATCACCGGTAGTAAGCCATATGCCTGGATGATCTAAAAGGAGAGGTATCGAAAGGGGAAGATTTCTTGATAGCATCTGCAGGCTTCTTCTTCTCTATCTTGGTTTCATGGCGCAGCCAATGTTCGACCACAGACAGTAGATTGGGGTAGCTCTTGAGTTCAAAGAGTTCTGATAGCTTTTCTGATTTCTTCAGCACGCCGTCTTGAACATAGACAAGATCAGTTGCCCATGTCTCCAGGCCATCAAAAATGTGGGTTGCATAAACAATTGTAGCTCCTCTCTGGTAATTGGGGAAACAAATGGATTACAATTAGCATTTCCATTGTATTTGGTTTAAGCTATCAAAATTTTGAAATCAAGAAGATTTTAAATGATACTGAATCATTTCACTAGAATAAGTACTCATAACATTTGTAATAGCCATAAAGACAAGAATCAAATTAGACCTGCAATATCCACTGATAAATCAGAACCATATGAATAATAGAAACTTCTGCAAATTGAGCAAAAGCCGGTAAAAAGTTGGTGGTAAGAGACATTTTTAACCAACCCCGAAGTTCTATCTGCTTGTAGATGAAATTTTGGTTTTCCAAACCAATGAGATTTAGAAATGATGAAATAACATCCCTTCAACTATTTATTTAGTAGAAATGCCAAAAGTGTGCTTCTTTTGTCTAGAGTTTGCAAGCATCCCTTATCTAACATAAGAAGTTGCTAAAGTTTGGATGAGTTGATTAGGAAGGAAACCTGTTCACTTTCTTCCCGGAAAAATTCCAGCAAATCCATCCTGGCTACCACATCCAGATCGACTGTGACCTCATCTAACAGCAGAACCTGGTCAAGAGTTTACCGAGATTATCAACAAGAATACAGCACAAAACAAATATTCAACATTCCACATAGAGGGAGACCGCTTGCTCACACTGGCTAAAAAAATCATTTGCAGTTCAAAAAATGTTTACAATCTGCTAGTTGCATGTATGCACATAACTTCAGACACATGCAAGCATGATGCTGCTATCAACATCCTGTCATCTGGTAAGACAACAGTTAAGCTACCTTGTAAGGATGAAGGAGACCCATGCAAATTTGGACTCTTCGCCGCTGTCCATCAGAAACCTTGTGCATCCGCCATTGAAGATTGATATCAAGCAGCTCAATCAGCTTTTCTCTTCTAACTGGATCCACTCCTTCGACTAGAAAATGCGGAAAAGACTTGCTTTAAATAACCTTAGTTTCTAATCATGTTCGACAAATTATCACATCTATCAGACAGGGATATATATGCATTTCGTATTGCCAAGTACCTCCCAAATGATGAAACATCAATTACCACACTCAATTAAATCAATGGTAAGAGAAGAGTATTCAACAATCATAAAAGCATCAACACACCTCCAAAAATCATGTGTTCAGCAGAAAAGTCTCCTTGAAGTGGCAATTCTCCCTAAAATTTTGCTCCCAAATGAGACACAAAAATTGAATTCTTAACCATAATGAATCACGATCACCATCTCAAACAGCAGTATGAATTAGAGAAGCAATCAAACGAAACGAATCTTGTTTGACACCAGATAAAGCTATCAAAAAGAACGACTTACAGCAGAGCCAACACTCTTACTCCACGAATCCCCTAAATAAGCCAAATCACCACCGCAAACGAGATTCGTGTCGTGAAAAGCAGAGCGATTCAGTACTCGTACCACATCTTTCCCCCCAACCATGTGCTTCCCCGCTAATATCCTCAGCAGAGTCGTCTTCCCTGCCCGAGAACCACCGCATAACAAATACATTATCAAAGCACAACCAACATCGAAAGCTCGGAATGAAAAAAAAAAAAAAAGAAAAAAAAAGAAAAAGCGTACCGGATCCATTGGCACCGACGAGGAGGCATCGGGACCCTGCCGAGACTGTGAGATTAAATTCGAAAAATAAAGGGGATTGAAGATCGTAAGAGAATTGCATTCCATTAACTTGGATGCTGTGCAATCCTTCCGCCATATCTAATTACTGCTGCTGGATTACGTTCGTCGGATCTCAATTACCGTTCTTCTGATTCACGCAACGCCGGCGTACATACGGCGGTGGTAGTTGCCGGTTCGTGCCTGAGCAGACTATATCGCTAGCTCCGACTAACAAGTAGTTAATTATATAGACGTGTCGCTAGTTAAGACCGGTAAAGTCGGGTCGGAAAATACTATGGGTCGGGCGATCCGTTTAAATTTATACGGATCCCGTAAACCCACGTCACCAACCAATTTGAACTAGGGTTTAAGTATAAGATCTCACTTTGCGATCAGAATCGATAAAAGCGATGGCTGCTGGGAAATTTTCGATTCAATCTGTAGAAATTGCAATGAAAATGCGAAGTGCGTAGTGAAAGTATTTGTGAATTCGTATGGCAGGTGGAGCGTTGTTGAAGATGTATCCCCAATTCAAGCGCTAATCGGAATGGCGACAAAGTTTACGCCACTATGGTGCATTCTCTTCTCGATAAGTTTTGTTATATCATACTGTTTCTGCATTGATTTTGGTATCGCTATCAATCAGAGTTTAGTTAATACGAATCTAGCTCCGTTCTCGAGGTTTCCTCTGTTCATGTGATTGAGGCGTCGTAAAATTCATGATTTCTTCGGTTGAATCGAGAAACCGCAAAATTGATCAACCATACATGACATTCGAGATGTTTTTCTTTACTTCTGACTGAATTCATTTGCTTGTGTCTAGTTAATAACCTCATTTTTACATTTTTTTTTCCTGATACAAGTTTCTAATTTCGCCATCTTCTTTAACCTGTGCAGAAGGACTCACCACTACGTTTGGCAACACAATCTTGCTCTGCCAGGTAACGTTTTATGCTAATTTTTTCCTGTATCTTCCTAGATTGTTGCCTGTTCTGAATTTTTGCCTTCGTGTTTGATTTGCATGCGCCGCCAGTCCCAAAGTTTGTGTGCGTGACTGTCTATGCATTTGTGGATCCAATTTCCTCTAGGATCAGAAGTCAGGCATGAATCATATTCCTCAAATCATTATTAAAGAAATACAGGCTTAGTTTGCGATTTAAAATTCTAAATTAATAAGGAATTAAGTATTTGATTTGGAATTTGTTCATCCAAACATGACACAATTCATAATATATACTCCTTACTACAAAAAGAGTACTCCCTCCCGTCCTTCCCTCCATCCCGCGGAACATGAAGCTCCTGTCAGAGACAAAATAGTTTAGGTAATGTAGGTTATTAACTTATTAATAATAAGTTAAGATAATATTTTATTATTTTTTATATATGTAATGTTGTTGGTATTTTAAATATTTTTAAAATTATATCTCTAATGCAATATGGATATCATTTTTTGTAGACACTAAAATTTTATATAATACAAATGAATAAAAAAAATATATTTATTTATTTATCATTATCATAAATTAGTTTTATAATAAACTAGGAGTTTTAAAGATAGATAAAAATATTTGTTAATTGAGAAGAAAGATAAAAATAAGGGGGTTTTAAGTGAGTGATACCGAAGTTTAATTAAATTGATTTATATTTGTTAAGTATGTTATCTGTGGCAGGACGGACGGAGGAAGTATAATATATTCTACTATATAAATAAATAAAATTTAATTTAAAGTATTGTTTTTTATATTATTAGTATATAGTACCTTACAAGAAAAATGTAAAAATTGTATTTAATTTAAATTTTTTTAAAAAAAAATTAAAATTAAAAGTGTTAAAATTTTGCTGTCGTGTAAACTTACAAAGCCTAATAGAAGTGGACTGCGCAGGATTGGGCTAAAATGTAAAATGTTAGCCCGGTCCGCGAGCTGTGTTGTAGTGGACCGATAAGGTTTGATTTGGGCCGCGTTGGCTAGTCTCTACGCAGTATGCGTATTATTTCTTTAAAGCAGGCTTGAATGGACCCTAAACCCTAGTAAGTGGACCGAGTGACACCCTGACTTTACCACTAACTCCCATTTAATACTACTATTGTGGTGGCATCATTTTTGTAATTGTTTACTCTCAATACTACTAATATTTAAACAATGTGTACTCTAATATAACATTCCTGCTTTATATATATATATTAATGTAGGAAATAGGAACTGTAAGTCGTTATTATTTAATTTACTCACAATTTTACCATTATTTACCAAAAATATTATCTAATATTATACACCAAAAAACCACTAACCTTTATAAAGTATTTTTAAGCTTTTTGTCTTGCACTAATTTACATACCAATATTATACTCTTTATGTCCTACCAATACGCGTATATAAGTATTATTTTTGCTTAACACGCACTCCGCTCCAAACGGAGGAAGTATTACTTATTAATAGAAATAGTTTCAGACGACATATAGAGAAGATGACCGGCGATTTGAACGAATGATTGATTGATGAACAAGTAGCCAGTCGCAGTTTTTGTGGCAATAATTGGTTGCTTCTTGCATTGGCACTTTAAATTGTTCTTTGAATTACTGCAACTGCTTAATTTTGTGGTCTGACAGACACTGAATCTCTTGATTAATTTGAATCTGTCTGAAAATAATAATAATAATAATAATATTACTACAGCTTTCTTTTTCTTCCTAACGCCACGTGGAATTAAGGATGGCTATTTACATGTGATCCAATTGAAAATTGCTCCTACACTACTTTTACACTACTTGTACACACATTCTATTCAGCAAGCAACTTGGAACCAAAGCAAGTCGACGACAACGACGTCGTTTCTCCCTCCTCCATCTTCCCATTCCCATTCCCATTCCCAACCCAATCATTTATTAACAGTAGTATTATTATTTATTTGCAGATTTTCTTGCTCCTACGTATTACAGTGACACTACAGCATGCTAATTATTTATTATTATAATTGTCATTGTTATTGCAATTCCCTTTGCTTAATTTAATAGATATATTATTATTCTCGTAATTATTATTATGATTATGATTTGTCAATTGTCATGGTGTCCCGGCCCTTGATAGGAGGTGTAAAATATGTGTGCGGTAGGGCCTCGCTTTCTCTCTGGAACACGCTTTATCCTAAAGCGTGTTTTCCATCTTAATTATTAATTGGAGTATTTTATTGGAATTATTGGACACTCGTCGTGTTGTGGTATGATATTAGAATTTTGGTTAAATTTATTTCTTTTTCATATATGTCAAAAAGTGAAAACCAGTCAGCAAATATTAATTTGATTTATCGTTATTAAAAAATAATAATATATGCAAAACTCCTACATTGTACAATATTATCTAACTAACGTTAATAACACTTGAGAGGTTAGAATTTGTTCTTGAAGTTCTTAAGCTTGTTCTTGATATATATTTTTAATTTCGATCTCTTTTAAGTCCCAAAGCATTGGTGTTCATCGCTGAAGTATCGTATTTTTTTCAACATGTCACTTCCCAAAGCCAAATGTTATACATGTTACATAATATATATAGAAGTATATGTTGTGTATATTATACTGTACTGTATTGTATAAATATATTTATTATTGTACTATATGAAATTATATAATGTTATCAGACATGTTTTTTATATTGTATTATTACATATTGTCAAATATGCATAATTATATTTATATATATATGTTGATTAAATCAAATCAACACTAATATGATGCGTGTTTAGGTATGTTTTAGAAATATTTTACTCTTTTGTGAAAAAAATTAAAATAGTGCAAAACATATAAAGTAAAAAAATATACAAATATTTGATGTAATATAAGTATAAGTTGGATTTGATGCTTTGCATATAAAATGAGTTCAAATATACTATTTCAAATATTATTAAAAAAAAAAAATCTTAAATTGAAGATATATTCAAAAATAATTTAGGATAAATTTTAATGTATACTAACTTATTTTAAATTTATAATCCTTATCTATCTTGGGAAATAATAATTAAATAGGATATATTAATTACCAAAAAAGAAAAAAGAGATATAAATCGACAACGAAAGGGTTTTGTTTGGTTTTGATTTGAGTTTTGAGTTTTATATTTGAATTTTAAAATTTAAATAATATTTTAATATGATATTTTATAAAAAAATAATTAATTTTTATTAAAAATTATACAAATTGAATAGAATTAATTTATGCTTAAAATATAAAAATAAACTCAAAATTATATATATTAATATAATATAAATACATGATAATAGTCTACCAAATGCATCTGGTATATAAATTGAAGTCGTTTGTTGGCAATATATGTTCCATGTGCTTATTAGTTCTAATTAACATTCTAATTTTTCTTAAAGAGCTCGCTTTAATGACATTTTTTCCAGCGCCCTATTTTTCTATTATTTATTATTATTTTTTTTAATGTATTTATGTGTGTGGATAAGGTTGATCTGCAAAAGGATTTGTTGATCTTGTGGCATAAGCCAAATTATATAACTCTATTGAGAGGGAGTAAACTAAATTAAATTAAACTAAACTATAGTAAGAATGAATGAGGTGTTATAGATATTAATTATTAGGTTAATTGAATAAAGAAAAGGCTACAATAATTACAAAAACACTAATCATTATTTATAATACAGATTCTAAAGACCAAATGCTTTTGCTTCTCAACAACTCCGAATCTACCTTAAATAGTAAATGCTACTAAATATATACACATCATATCAACTATATATATATATATATATATAGATATCATTTCTATTATTTTGATTTATGGGCTGTGCTTGCTTGTGTGTTTTTATGTTTTTAAGTATTTTTTTCAAAAATAAAAATTAGTTTTTTAATGTTATATTGTAAATGAAATATATGGATGTGTTTAATTGTGATTTCAAATTAAAATGAATAGTATTTATCTTTTATGATTTTTAATAAAAATTAAATTCAACGTTTCATTTCAAATCATAACCAAACAAATCCATACATATATATATGTTAATAACTTGGTAAAAAAAAAAAATCATTACTATTTTAAATTGAATTAAATAAAAATAATATTTTATTTGTTCTAATTCAAAGTAATTTTTTTATCATTTTTATATGTCCTATTCAAAAGTATCTATTTTCTATTTTATTAAAAATAATCATATACTAATACTAAAATATTTTCTTTAACTTTATCTAAATTACAAACATACTATTACACATATAAATAATTTATATATAAAATAAAAAAACAAAAATATTATAATTTATTACATATTTTCATTAAGTAATAAAACATTATTATTCTTAAATCTATTATAAAACGTGAAGCGGTTTGAAGTGGGAGTATTTTTTTTATAGCTAAAATATACATGTGTGAAAATAAATAAATAAAATCAAAGCATTTACTTTGCCATTTTTATTTTTATTTTTATTTTTTCACTTTTTTTGGAGTGGCTGGAAGATGAATTAATTATTCTTGGATTACATAAATTCGTATATAGACAAATAATGATGAGTCGATACATTGATTGGCCAATATGTGAACGATACAAGCGTTATAAATATATATATATACGTTATATTTCAATATAGACTTTTAATAATAATAATAATAATAATAATAATAATTAAATAATTATGGCATTGCACGTACAATAATTGAGTAAATAATTCAACAGTATATTGCCAGCTAGGAATTGTGTATAATCATAGGATATTCAAGATGCAATAATTGTTTGAGCTTGTATATACATATACCCCATTAATTTCTTTATAATAATAATATGATTATTATTCATAAAACAATTCCATCATAATTTATTATTCATCTGTCCTAAAATAATTGATCTATTTCATTAGTGTCATCGTAGCTTTTAAAAAAATAATAATATTTAATGGGTTAAAATAATGAGTTATGTTATTATTTTATTATTTTTTATATAATTAATAATATTGATGGTTTTAAAATAACTTTAATATATATAATCAAAAAAATTAGAATATGTTAAATATTTTGAAAATTATATCTCAATAAAAATATTATACAATATGGATATAATTTTGTAAAGAATAAAATTTTTTATGATACAAGTAAATAAAAAAAATACTTTTATTAGAATAAAATTGATTTGAAATCGAGTATTAATTTAGATGTGATATTGCATAAAAAATTAATAAATTTTTATTAGAAACTCTACAAAATGAATGATATTATTTTGAATTTGAAATAATAAAAAAAAAAAAACAAACAAACACAAATATCTCTAACATGCACTGAGCAAATACTATTAATTTCACCTATTACATTGAGACAAATAATTTTATATTCCATAGAGTTATAAATCTGATTTTAACAATAAATATTATAGGGTTATGTAAAAAGTGTTATAAAATTATTAAATAGTAGTACAAATATAATATAATCCAACCAAGAAGTGATGTGAATGAAAAATTAAATAACACATTAAATTAAAGAATATAAAGTTCTGTTAGATAAATTCTAGACAATAATAAATTAAAGGATAGTAATATAAGGAAAATCAAAGTGATGTGGACATGCAAGCTAGTTAATAGTACAAAACCTAAGGAGTATTTTAATTATTTATTTATTTAAATTTATCTGAATTTTATATTTATACCGTTTCCAGAATATTCCAGGAATAATTAGGATATACGTGTGACTACTGTCTTTTCAACTAATAATTAAATATTTTATACTAGTATGAATTTATAACTGTGTTATTTCTTTCTATTTCTATATTTTTATTACGAAATCCTCAAATAAGATTTTCTTGAACCCTCTACTCAAACTTAATCTAAATAAATTTAATCACGCCAATTAAAATTTTGAATTAAACTATTATCTCACCAAAATATTTTTACTTCAAATTATAACATTTAATATCTATTTGTATTCAGTTTATAAGTTAAACTAAAATATCAAATATTTTAGAAAATAATTAGGTAATATAATTAGTAAATAATTAATAAAAATAATTATGGTATAATAAAAATAAGTATAGATTAAAATTAAGATAAGTAAATAATTTAACAAAAGTTAAGAAAATTATCAATTATAAATTTAAAATATAATTAAAATCCATAATTAATTTGCCTAATTGTCCCAAAATTTTGCATCATACGTGTCTCAACATGCACAACACACACACACACACACACACCTCAATCCATCTAATATAATAATTATTAATGATATGATATATTAAATTGGAATAATTTTGCAAAACAAGCTGCTTCTTTTCTTGTAACAAATAGTATGCCATTATATAAATTACTTGTATTTCTACATTATTTATTAATAATAATTTTATTTATTTATTTACTATTTTCAAATCAATTCAAAATCTCTAAGTACTTTTAAAACATATTCAACCCATATTCATTGTGTTTCCATTAATTGGTGCTCACATAAAATAAATAAATAAATATAAATATGAGTGAATATCACATTTCATATATGATCATTAAAATAACGACAAACAAATTACCAAACTATTTACAAGCATGATCTATCTAAATTAATAAAAACTACATATATATATATATATACACTTCATCCGTTCAATAACAAAGTATTTATTTTTCTATTTTAGTCTGTATCATAACAAAGTATCTATTTTTTTTTAGTAAGTGTACTATTTACTTAACATTATAAATATTTTTACAACTTATAATATATTACACAATGTCATTACTTTTACTTTATATCACACATACTAATAAAATATAATATAATATTAATATTTTTAAAAATACGTGCAAATATTTAAGTATATAATATGACGATGACATCAAGCATAATTAATGGAATATATTTGTCCCACCTTAGAATTAAGGCAGCGGAAGCAGGGCGTCGAGGTCCGGGAGCAGTTACAACATGTGTGTTTTAAGATTCTATACAGACAAGTTTAGGGATAGTCCAAAAAAGCTTTGGGATTGGACTGTGTGTCTGTGTTAGCCAAATATATAATAATTTATTAGTCTAGCTTGTTCGAACCAATTATTACATATTTGATTGTGATATAATTTGATCTAATAGATCATAATTATTAAAACTATTATTATTATTATATTTAACTAAATAAAATCGATCTTGTGTTAAAAAAAATAAAATATATATATATATATAACGGGATGGATGGGTGCTTGCGGAATTAAAGGGGGATAACTAGCTAATTAAATACTCCCTCCGTCCCGAACACCTTGCAATATTTTATTTTTTTGTTTATTCGAAACTCACCGCAACATTTCTAAATTTAGAAATAATTAATAATATTTTTATACATATACTAATATACACTTTATTTTCTCCCATTACATTACTTAAATAAAAAAAAAACAAATAATCATTTATCTTCCAATCACATTACTTAATATCTAACTTATCTCAAATTATCATACTTAATACTCTCCACCTAAGTTCTCGTGTCAAACACAAATGTTGCACGGTGTTTGGGGATGAGGGAGTAATAAATAAGAATGATTAATTAATTGTGACATCATCCAACAACCAGAAGAAGATTTCTTGTAAGTATGGTCTTCCATGGATAAGCTGCCACGTACGATACATATATTATATGTATATTGGAGTTTGTCTCTGTGTGTATCTATAAACCTATATATATATATATATATTTATGATCTGCATTATAACTAACTTGTAACTTGTACACAGAAAAAGCATATTTATATATAAGCTCCAGCCTCCAGTTGTTGTTGAGATCAAGCATATACATATACATATATATATATATGTCCCATCCTCTCTCTAGATCTGTGTCTCTGTCTCTCTCTGGAATGGGGTTGAAGGAGATAGGGGTGGCACTGCCCCCAGGATTCAGATTCTATCCCAGCGATGAAGAACTGGTTTGCCATTATCTCTACAAGAAGATTGCTCGTGAAGATGTTCTCAGAGGAACTTTGGTCGACATTGATCTCCATACTTGTGAGCCATGGCAGCTTCCTGGTACCTTCAGTTCCAACTCTCTCTCTCTCTCTCTCTCTCTCTCTCTCTCTCTATATATATATATATATATATAATTCATTAAGAAAACACACTTATTCACACCCATGTCTTTAATTGAGTGTGTTCGAAAAGCAATTCTTCTTTTCTATATATATAGTATATTATATTTGAGGACTTTGAAGTCCTCAAGGACATATTGTATTTCTGTATGTAATATACTTTGATGTATTTTTTTTTTTTTGATATATTTTACTCCCTCCGTCATCCAATTATATGCTCATTTGATCGGATACGAATTTTAAGAAAAATAGATAAGAATAGAAATTTTTACTTTTTTTTTTTTTTGGTAAAAAAAGTGGTATTTTTCTACTAAAACGGAAACGGAAATAAATTTGGATGACAAAAAAAAAAAAAAAAAGTGAGAATAGATTTGAACGACGGAGGGAGTTGTATTTTTTTACAATATAAAAATTGTGTAATATGATAGGAAAAAAATAATAATAATAAGATACTTGTAATCTTGGATAACATTAGATTACGTGAATTTATTATATATAATTAGCATAAAGGTGATGAATAGACCCTTTCTATACCTTTATATCTGAAAAGAAGATGCAAAAATAACTTTTTCGAATTACTAGTATTACTTATTATTTTAGACAAGAATAAGAAATTAAATTAATTAGATTTAATCTATTTATGAATTGAATGTGGTGGTTTGTTGGTGACACAACTGATCATATCAGCAGATAGAGTGTTGCTTGTCAAGCAAGCTTTTTTGTATTATTTCTATAATATCTTTTACAAAAGACGAATATTAAAATAATAATATATATGATTTTGACAGGTTATTTTGTAATATTTATTCATGTTATTTTCCCTCTTGATGAGACAGCAATTTTGGAAATTTTTTCTCCAATTTAAATAATACAACATGATGTTTACTTTTAATTACATTAGTACATATGTGTAATTGTCCAAATTAAAAAGTAAAAATCGCCCAATAAAAAAATTTAACTTATTCCGATTCTACAATGTTTTCTTTAATTAAATTAGTATCATCAAAAATCAAAATAATTAAATTGTCCATATATATAAAAATAATGTTGTCCTTAAGTAATTGAAATGTTATTGAATTTTGTTGTAATGATATATAGATGTAGCAAAGCTGAATTCAAGTGAGTGGTACTTCTTCAGTTTCCGTGACCGGAAATATGCGACGGGGTACCGGACCAACCGCGCCACCACCTCCGGTTATTGGAAGGCCACCGGAAAAGACCGTGCCGTCATGGATCCCATCACACGTGCCGTCGTCGGGATGCGCAAGACCCTTGTCTTCTACAAGAATAGAGCTCCCAATGGGATCAAAACTTGCTGGATAATGCATGAATTTCGACTCGAAAATCCTCACTCGCCTCCTAAGGTAAATTTTAGGGTTAGGTTTTTTGAACTCCAAACTCAAAGTTTCTACTATTTGAATTCTGTATTTTTCGAAAAAAATATATATTTTTTTTTTACAAAACATCTCATCATATATTATTTTAATATCAAACTAAAACTAAATTTTTTTTCAAACTCATCAAAAAAAACACCAACTATAATAATTTTCAAATAGTATGAATAATAGTTATGCTACAATTTTCTATTTTTAATTTTTAGCTAAGGGACTATAGTGACGCATGAAGAAATTTGCAAATGTAGCTTTATTTAGATATTTCATTTAACTCTTATATCAAAATTATAATTTATCAATCGTATTTTAGTTTTATACCTTACAAAAAATCATATTTTGTATCCTATAAAACAAAACAAAGATATAATTTATCGCGAATTCAAAAGTGGGAGACAAACAAAAACAAAAAATGTAAAGTACTAAAGAATCATAAATTTGAGCCTAAGTTTGCAATTTCCCTATGTCACATTTTACAAACATAAAGGACCCCAAATATAATTAGTCCAAATTTAGAATTATAGTAGGTCCAAAATTTTACAGAAGACTTATTATTATTATTATTATTATTATTTCAAAGATATATTTTTGGATATACTTTCTCATTCAAATTTGTATTCATACTTTTGGGCATAACTTTTAATATGGGTATATATTTCGCTATCAAGAAATAAACTTATTTACTTTAATTGAGAGTTTTAATGTAATATTTATTTCTTTTTATAATAAAAAAAATTATAATATATTGTATACTTTTTATTAAAAAAAAAAAACAGGCCTATTTTTTTTTATAACAAACAAGAATAAAATAGATTTTTTTTTTTTTTTTAGAGCAGATGAAGTATGAATTTTTACTAAAAAAAATATAAATAAAACTATTTTTTAGTACAATAGTCATAAAAGAAAGATAAGTATAAATTTAAAAGACATAGACAACATAAAATTAGTACTTTTGTTCCTACAATTTAAACTCTACACGAGTCTTAATTATGAAAAATTACGATTAACTGTTACTTACATGACCAAAATTAATCGTACGAGCATATGTTCAACAGGAAGATTGGGTGCTATGTAGAGTGTTCCACAAGTCGAGAAGCGAAAGCAACGACAAATTCGACGCGTACGATCCAATGGCAGGATGCGAATTCTATTCGAACATGCCTCATGAATCAATGCACAACAATTACCGCGAGGTCGAGGTACAAAACCCTAGTAGCATTGCACTGGCCTTGTCCGGAGAATACTTACCCGAAGAAGACGCCGGAAACAATGGGAGTTGTTGTCGGCATCGGGGCATTAAATTTTTGGACGATGAGACAACAAAGTACAACGAGGATGTCGATGAGTATGGATTCTTGTTCGATGCATCGTTCAATTATGACAACATGAAACTCGATCACGATGATGCCACGTCAGCTTCACTCTTCGTTTGATGCCAAAAGTATGTATTTATGTATATACGTACATATGTGTATTTATACGTATATTTGTACGTAGATTATTCGTTAGGACAGGTATTGATTGATTGTTCAGGTACTAGTGTATGTGTGGATATATTGTTGAATTTGTAGCTAGGTATTATTATTACACACATATATATATATATATATATATATTGAATTTGAATGTATAGAAAGAATGTGGGTATATATTATTTCGATTTTTAGGGCAGACATATATATAATTTAGAGTTAGATCAGTGTGTTTATTACATACAGGAATTTGTTTGTATTGTTAGTTTGGAGGTTTTTTTATTGGAGATTTTGGTCATTTTCTTTGGGTTGTAAAATTAGAATTTTAGTTTTTTTTATACACTAAATTTATACATAACCTATTTATAAAAAAAAATATATATATATTCAATTCACTCACAATTTCTTTTTTATTTATTTATTTATTTATATCACTTTTTTATTAAGGTTTAATAAATTTTATAAAATATATCTATTTAATTTTTTTATCTGCTTAGTTTTTATATTAAAGTAATATTATTTCATAATATCTCCTATAAGTTATATAAACACCTTGGGGTAAGTAATTTTTTTATATATTGGGCCAATTCTTGAGTTTTCATTACCGAACTACAACGGCCCAATTTTTTAGCCCAAAACGGTTTGATCAACAAAATATGACTGTTTTGTTGTATATTTATATCCAATAAAAAAATATTTAAAATATACTCCCTCCGTCCATGGATAAAGTATACATTTACTTTTGGCTCGGAGTTTAAGAAATAATAGTATTTTAATTATAGTGGGTAGGTAAAAGTAGTGTAATGATATTTTTGTCTTTGCTTTTTGGTATAAAAGTAAAGATGCGATGTAAAGTAATGGTATTTAATGAAAAAAAAAATGGGATATTTAATGAAATGGTTACTTTGTAATTGAACGTCCCAAAATAAAAATATGTATACTTTGTAGTTGGAATGAGAGAGTATTATATATAATCAAATTCACAACTCAACCTAGCATTATTTTTGGAGTGGATCGATCATTTCATGATTTCATGCATAATATATATATATATATATATAATACAATTGTAATTGTTTAATTAATATTGACTAATTAATTTTTTATTTTTCTTGTTTATAATAGGGAAACCCGCAGTCAGCTATCCGAAAAATATCGGCCCGGTCATGATCACCAATTTGGTAATAGTATAGTGTAGATTATAAATTATTATTATTATTATTATTATTATTATTATTATTATTATTATTATTATGTGGTAAGAATAATTTATTTTATTATTTTGTTCTAACTTTTTATTACAAGTAAATTATTAAAATTTATTTATATATATAAGGAAAAAATATTGAGCATAAATAGACAAAAACTGTAAATATTTAAATTCGTTCTTTTTAACATTTTAAATCAAAATAACATTACTTATCTTCCACAATTTTTAATAAAAATATATTATTTCATATCTTAAAATATCATATCAAAATATTATTTAAACAAAATTTCAAATCAACATCCTATTTAAAATGAATATCAAACTATAACCAAAGAAACATTTTGTGATGTTTCAAATTAAAAATGAGTATATATTGAGACAGAATGAGTAATTGGTAGTTCAAATTCAAATTCAAATTATTCACTCTATAAGTAAAAATATATCATTTTATCTTATAAAATATCATATCAAAAAATTATTTAAATAAACATTTTATTTCAAAATATTTTCAAACTACAAACCAAACAAACCCAAGCAAACCCTATATAACTAATTCATTACCTATCGATAAGAATAAAAAAATAAAAAAATAAAAATTGCAAATTTACAGCATTTCACAATAGAAATACTAATAAATAAATAAACAGAAAAAACAAATAATAGGATGCAGCAAGTGTATTCTTAAAAAAAAAAAGCAACATTCAATAATTATGGAATAATAAGGATTACAAATAGTGTATACAGTACATATTAACTTTATATAGTTTATATTAATATAAAAAAATACAATATATTAACTAACATATAATTATTAATCTTTTTACTAAATAATATTCCACCGTTCCAATACAATAGTCTTGTTTATCATTTTTGTCCGTCTCAAAACAATAGTCTTATTTTCATAAATAATCATATCACCATAAAACTACCCCTACTTTTTCATTTTTATTACACAATTGTCACTATTTTTTTACACTAATACACTCACGGGACAAAAAAGTTTTTTATCCTTTTTTTTTTATCAACTACCTATATAATATTAATATTCTTTAAATCTTATATCCAACATAATTAAAACTATATTTATGAGACGGAAGAAGTACTATTATTATCATTATTATTAGTAGTAGTATATTAGTATTATTATAATGTTTGGAATAGATTTGTAAATAGTAGTAAACATATTAAATAAAAATAAATATTAAATGTATATATATATATATACACATTAATTTGAACAGGGCAAGTAGATAATTTTGTCACATTATTGCACGTATTTGTGTGCACAAAAATTCATTCAAATTCAATGTATTTCCACTTTATATTATACTAGTACTATTTAATTTAATTAGTTGTACCAATTGATTATTCAGATGACTAAAAAAACAAGACACATAAATATATTTGTATAACAATTGTACATGGAATTATATTTAAGTATTTCAATATTCTTATGGGGGCCAGTAAATATTAAATAATAGATGTTGAATTAATTGGTGAAAATCTTTGATGAGATATTGCACCAATTATTTTGTTCATTAATTGAATATGAATGAACAGATCAGATTTGTAGGAATTTCTTCAGATAATTCAATAAATTCAAGTGAACAGTAGAGGCAGTTACTGGTTGGAAGCTGTTCACTGTTTAAATTATTCTCTCCTCAATAAATATTATTATTTTTAATTTAAAATAATAAAGAATAATAATAATTAATGTTTATATAGATATAGATTTTTAATATTCCCTCTGTAAAATATATATATATATGTATAAATGACAAAGAAAAATATAAGTTAAACATAAATTTAGATTATAAAAAAAATAATAATACATATTTAATGTGAAATTAAAAGATAACAGTGTACAAAGTTTTCCTCCCAAGTATGGTGTTCTGTGCAATAGATAAGGAATTTTAAAAATAACATGATCAATAAATAATTAAAATTGTATATATTAGTAAAAATAATTATATACAATACAATAATTATAAATTAGAGTTAAAGATAATTTATTAATCTAATTGAAATATTAAACATTTGATTCGAGTTTGTAATCCTTTCCTAACCAAAAAAAAGATAGTAGAATTCGAGGTATGAAATAAAATTTTATTCAAGTTTGTTTACATTACACATTTTTATTCATTTGACACTATTTATTTTTTTAATAAAATTACATTAAATACATTTTTTTCTCACATAATATCATATCAAATACTCATTTTTTATTTTTTTTTCAAAATTTCAAAATTACAAAAACCTCCCAAAATGTCTCTCAAAATACAAAGTCTTAATTTGGGTTGAAAATCATTTCCAAATATATATATATATATATATATATATATATATATATGGTGTCGGCAAATAGATATTTGAACTGTTTTGCAATTATATCCCTTGTAGTTTGGAAGAACCATTGGACTCTTTTAAAATTGTTTTTAATTGTGTTTTCAATTTTTCTGCGGTCACAATATTCAATGATCTACTGTGCATTTTTTATTATTACTATTATTATTCGCTAAAATAAATCACATTTAGGGAAAATTTAATTGCAAATTAAACAATATAGCACACACTCTTCTACTGTTTGATTGAGTATCTTTATTTATATATATATATATATATATTTTCAAAAAAAGAGGAAAAGAGTTTCATATATATCATCACTTAAATTTATTTTTCTAAAATAAACACTTTATAAATGTGTATATATATATATATATATATATATATACAAGTAAGTACTATTTTAGTTTAGATTCTGAATATTTTACTTTGCAAGTTTATTTAGAGACGAGAAAGCATTTGTTAGCAAATAATTAAGGGTGCGAGAATGTAATTGCCAAAAAAAAAAAAAATGATAGTAAATAATATAGAATTGTGGAAAAATAATAAAAATTATTCTTATGTTTGATAATGTTAGATTAAGATATTTGAGAAAAATATATATTGGTAAAAATGCTACGTGTTATATATATATCCAACTGATTAGGAACCCTAATTTAGAAAATTAATTAGGTTACCATCATGTTTGGTTAATTTCGTGATCAGACAAATTTTCAGAATCTTGAAAGCTGTAAGAACAAAAAACGGTGGACAAAAAGTCAGCAAGAGAGATTTGCAGAATCAATCCAGTTCGTGCAACAAGAAATACAAACCCCACTTCCAATGGCTGTCAACAATCAACGCCATGACCACGATCGTGATGATGATGATGATGAATGAAATGCAGGAAAATCTTCAAGATCGACAACAAAGCTCATTCAATTTTCAGAACTAAAATTACGTGCGTAAAATCACTGCTCCGATCTTCAAAACTACTGTCTCGAATTACTTTAAATTGCAGAATATCTTAACCTAAATTGAACTCCTCAGAAAAAAAAAAAAAAAAAAAAAAAAAAAGTTGCAGGGATTCGATATAAATATAATCAGCAAACCCTAAATCCCTAAAATTCATAATTTAATTAATCAATTACTCGATTGAGCAGACAGATTTTACTCAGCTGGAATATGATGGCCGGCCGGCGTGCATGATCGATCGATCGATCTAATTAATCGGCCGGCAGAAGATGAGGCGGCGATGGCGGCGGCGCGGGGCGTTTCCTCTTCTTCTTCTCGTAGCTAATCCCTCTGGCCTTGGACTGCGTGTCGCGAACTTCCCTGAGGTAAAGGCGGACGGCTCGAGCGGCGAAGGGATTGGTGTCGGGCTTGCCTCCGTTCTCTTCGTAGGCGGCGCGGAGGCGGCCGACGAGGGCGTCGAGGCTACCCCAGGCCTGGCGGAGCGGGCAGGGGCAGGCGGCGGGGGGGTTGGGGTGCCCGTAGAAGGGGCACATGGAGCTGTGGACTTTAGTCTTCCCGAACTGGTCCTGGTACCGGAGGAACTCCAGCACGTGCGCACCGCTGCACCGGCTCAGCGCCAGCGGCGGCCGGTGGTTCCTCAGATACTGGCAGAACGTGTTCCAGTCGCGCCACTTCTGGCTCTCGTACCGGCTCGGCGTCCCCGACGATGAGCCGGCGCCGTCCACCCGGGACTCGTTTGGCGAGAATTCCATTTTAATTTTCAAAAATCAAAACCCTCTTCGTCGCTAGTAATCAATTACCTCCCTTACATAAAATAAATTAAAAAAAAATGCAGCAGCAGGAGCAATTACACAAGCTAGCTAGGGTTTCTTTATAAAATTTTGTGGGATTGCAACAATTAGAATAAGAAAAAGGAAATTAGGGTTTTGAAATCAAATCGAAGATGAGATCCAAGAACTCGAAAGATCAACGACCAATTAACAAGCTATGAGTATGAACGAGGGATGGGTAGCTGTAAGGGGAATGGAAAAATCAGGGTTTGCAGTTTGACATGTCAGGGATTAAACCCACACACACACACACAGTGGATGGGACAGAAGGATGTTTTGTGAAGAGGAGAAGATGAATGTCTGGAGCATGCACAGTACAGTGCAGGTCAAAATGGTGCTTCTCTCTCTCTCTCTCTATATATATCTCTCTATCTCTCTCTATATTACTTATGACAGATTGAGAAGCAAACCAAAGGCAGCAAGGAAGAATGTAATATGGAATGGAGATGGAGGTGTGGAAGTACCACTGTACACCAACAATATAATACACTAATAATAATGTGGTGGTGGGTGGGTGAATTTGATTGAAGGGGCCGGGCCCCCAACACAATTATATTATAAGATCAACGTCAGATGGTTGGTTTTGTTGAGTTACTGCTACTGTTTTAGGGATTTATGGATTGGATGGTGAAATTGTGGAAATATAAAGAGGAACACACCAACACACAAGCCAAGCTGCACCCTCCAAGAATGTCCAGACAGCCACACATGGATATGTGCCCATTTTCCAGATTTATTACCTATATATATACATACATACATATACATATATACCTGTACATACATTACACTTGTACTACTACTACACCATTGTAGTAGTATATTATAGTATTGATTAATTTCAGAAGCACTGTAGAACAACGCGGAGAAAGACTAGAAAACAGTTGCAGCTTTTAAAAGGTATGTACGGATGTAATACATACATACATACATACATATATTTTATATATAAACACATACAGCCACCAATGCACTTGGCTGGACTTTGGTGTTTTTTTTTTTTTTTTAATTTCTGAATAAAAGGACGTGTTTGAAATTACCTGTATAGGTAAATTAATGGGGAGTGACAACCATAGTACAAAAGCACACACTACTAGCTTAATTTGAGGCAATTCTTTGAAATCTCGTACAATTCGTGTGTGCATATCCAAACAATGTCTGGACAGTATATCAAATTGCAATTTTCCTAGGAATGAGTGCAATTAATAAACATTGCCCAATTTGATCTCCAAATGTTAATTAAAATATATATATATATATATATATATATATAAAGAAAGATCTATGATCCCATCTGGAAAACAATTAAGATAATGTTAATGTCACTGAAAAGCCATAATTAATAAAAATGCAGTGTATATACCCTAACAAGCAAAGAACTCAAATAAACAAACTATGAATGAGTTTCTTCCATGGATTCTTGAGGATTCGGAGCATGTAATTCATACCTCTGCTAAATTTCCATGAAGCTTTTCATCATCAATTCAAGCTCGAACTCGAACTCAGAATTTCAATGAGCTCTTGCTTCTTCAACTTCGAAAATCCTTTAATGCCGCTGGACTTGGCAAGAGCTCTAAGTTCTGTCAGCTTCAATCCACTTAAGTTGCCGGCCTCGTCCGCAGCTCCATCACTGCCGGCATTTTCATCTTCAGAGATCTCATCAAATGCATTTTCAGAAGTTGCATCATTTGAAATCAAGGATTGTTCCTCCTCATCATCGGATTCCATCTTGACTTCATGAATGCCATTGCCCTGTATTGCAGAATCAACAGAGTTGTCAAAATAAGCAGGCTGGAATTTGGTTTCTGGCACTGGAGATCTTTTGCGAAAACTCGACTTTGGACGGCTAAGCCGTGATTCCATGTTTTCTTGTGCATTCAAATCAACACTGCCGGTGCTGCCCTGTTCAGCAGTTGAGCCATTTGTTTCATGATGATCCAGGACGAAATCGTTGTGCCCTGCATTGTTGCTCTGGTTAATCTTCCCCTTCTGAACCGAGTGCCTCCTCAGAAGCCTGAGAAGCGAATCGACAGTCCCATTTTCATGGCTTTTTTCCTCTGAATTCTCAACTTCCTTTTCTTCTTTCGTCGCTGCTCTTTCACGAAGTTGAGTCTGCACCTTCCGGAAAAGCTCAACGATCTCCCTCTCCTTATTCCCCGGCGCCATCGTCCCCTGAGACTTCTGGTTACCAGACACAGCAAGTGAAGGTCCATTTTTCGATATCAGAACTTCAGATTCTTCAAACTCATTGAAATCATCCCTCCTTTCATTAAACCTGGTGTTCCTGCTTCTAAATCCCTGCCTGTTTTGCCTCGAGAAATCAGGGTTCCTCCTGTAACTTCCGGAATTTGCATTGCAGACGATTAGTTTCCGGCCGGAAACATATTTCAGAGACGAAAACTTCACATTGGAAATGAGTGTGCAATCACTGAGGGAAGACTGGATTGACGAGCCTGCAGCTTTTCCAGAAGCTCCTGAGAAGGGTGTCTCACATCCTGCTAAGAAATCAGTGAAATGTGAAAAACCTAATCAGTTTCAAATTAGGGAATGCTTAATTTAAAGCACACATATCTAATCAGCAATCCTTCGGGGATTTTGATCAAAAATCGATCGCATATGCCCAATTTAACCACTATCCTTCAATTAGCTATTCATATGGTAAGAAAGCGCAGCCTATGATCTTCTTTTATCAAGTAGGAACAAAAAAGAATACACAGGCATTTCATCAAACAGGTTGCGGGCATGGTCAGAAACACCATAGCCGCCTCCACCGCCGACGCTATTCGTCCCACCGTCCAACAACCAAAAATGAATTCTCAAAAACGCCAGCGTAGTTAGATTATCAGCCAAAATCCCCAGGCGCTTTGTTGCACCAAAATGCATAAAGCAAAATCACCCACCCACCCAAATGCAGACATGGATACATCTAAATCAGAAATGAACAGAACAGAGTTATATTACCTGAAAAGCTCCTCGAGATGCAGTGTACCGAACCCGACATGCTTCGACGGCGGAGTGTAGTCTTCAACGAAGGCGAGGCGGTATAGTACGTTGTTCGAAGATACGCCGGCAATTCTTGACACAGACTTGTTGCTACTACAGTGGACTGGCCCTGGTATTGCCCTCGAAATTGGGCCGGGCTGAAGCCCAAAAATAAATGATCACACAAAAAGCAGCCCACGAGAGGGTTAACGGCTACGGCTATGTAGGTGGCAGAAATTTTTGAACTTTGTGTCATGTGCATTCTGAGTGACGTGACAGTTAATTAAATTAATGAATGAGAGATCTGTGGTTTTTCTTTTTTGGATCTTGATGTTCAAACCAGTAATGTAATGATTCTTAGACAGTGATAAAGCTCCAAGGGGCAATAGTTGCACCAAACGTGGCTGGAGGAGTTCTTTAAGCAAGTGTAAGAACAAAGATTAATTAAAAAAAGAAGAGATGTGGAGTGAAAGCTACAGTTCCAAGAAAAAGCAAAAGGAAGACAAAAGGACAAACATATACTTATAATAAAGAAATGGTGAATGGCCGAGCCACGAGGAGACGAAAATACACAGCAGTACCAGTACTGCACTGCAGTCGTGTTGGAAACAAGACAAAATCTGAGTAGTATTCTCTCTGCTCGGGCCACACCCCCAACACGACCATAACATCCATTCCTTATCCCGATTAGGCAATACAGATAGACTATAGATAGATACTGTATATGTGTGTGTGTCTCTGGGTCATTTGGGGTGGACGAGTGAAGTGAAGCTGAAGCTATCAATGGCCTCGAGGGAGAGCAAGCTCCTGGTTCTTCTTGTGTTGGTGATTCTCCAGGTCGGTACGGGAGTAATGGCAGAAGGCCGGCATTTTTCGAGGCCTGGATTTCTCTACACGAGAACGCGAGGAAGATGCACTCCGCAGTAAACCTAGCTCCTTTTCTTTCTTTCTTTCTTTAATAGATTTTATCATTTATTTATGGATGCGCGCAGGTACTGGAGCAGCAGGAGGGAAGCGTGGCCGAAGATGGTGCCGGAGAGATCGACGGTGTGGAAGGTGTTCGGGTGGCAGGCAACGGAGCGGTATCGGAAGGAGTTGACGCTGGCGGAGGCGGCGTCGATGGAAGAGGAGGAGGAGGGGGCGTTCGGGCGGCTGGTGAAGCAATCGACGGCGGCGCTGATAAACTCGTACATGAGGAGAGGGTATCCGTACGCGCCATGGGAAGTGAAGACGCTGCTCATACAGTCCCTCGTCTCCGCAGAAGCCGCCGCCTTTCAGGCCCACAAGTTTCGACAAGCCAACGACAACTGCGGTTAGACGGACCGACACACACGAAAGATTTCCTTTTGTGTTTTTGGATTTGATTGTAAATTGTAATGGTGGGAATTGGGTGAGACAGACAAGCTTGCTGCTTTCTTGTGATCATGTCAACTCATCCCTGCTGCTTAATTGCATTGCATTGCACTGTTGAAGCAACAGGGAGGGGAGGGCATTCCTATTCAAGCAAACAATAATCAAGCATTGATGCAGACTTTTACCATCCACGTGTCTATTAATGTTATTTGTACAGAAATGATTTCAGATGCTGACTTACTATGATATTGCTCCCACATATGATTTCACCAACACAAAGCGATACAAAGAATCCACTTCACTCACTCTAACACAACCTTTTCTCAACTAATTTTGTTCCATGCCAACACAAGTACTGGAACATATATATCAGTGCAGGAAGTCCTTCATTGGGTCATCATGGTGGACCCTCTTCATCCGGTATGCCTCCATGTCCTCAGCAGTAACCTGCAAGCCAAGCCAAGCCATAAAGGGTAAGGGGTGGGTCAAAATAACCTAATTCTAAAATCATTATTCGAGAAAAAAAGTATCAAACTTGGATAAAGAAAGATACCTCATCGTTCCACTTAACATTATACTTGCGCTTCCGTTCATCTCTTTCTTCTCTTTTTCGTTCATCCTCCTATGAAAAAAAAAAAAAAAAAAAACGTTTTAACTCTCCTTTTGTTTCACACAGTTTACTATGACTATATATACATATGGTATGCACATTTTACCCATTCACTTAGATACAACTTAAACAAACTTTGCATTGATGATTATTGTTTATTGATTATTATTTTACAAAATAGACAAAATCAAGCAAAAAAATCACCTTCTTGAGCGAATCAGCCAGTTTTTTCTGGTCCAATACTAAATCATCAGGTACTTCAGAACCCCATGTCGCAAGGTTTTTACTCTCAGCTGGCTCAGGTGCATCTGAATTCAAAACATATATATTCAGTTGCAAAAATTACACTAATACAGCAGAAAAAACAACTGATCTCATAAGAGGCAAGAGCATAGTACCAGAACACATCAAAATTAATGAACAATTAGAGCAACAATATGTTACCTTCAGCAGCCTCTTTCCGAGCAATATTAGCTTTCATAAGATCAGCTGCAGCTTCAGCAGCCTCAATACCAGCAGCGCCAGTACAGTAGCTGTTTCTTACTGTCTGCTGGCAACATTTGTAGCCCCACTGATGGTCTCTCCACCAAGAACCCCACACACTAGTATGGTTGTTAACATAAACATCCTCTTCATATTTGCTTTTCGGAAGAGATGTCTCCTGGAATATCAAGCACACAACAGGTCATTTTCAGCCATACAAGATCTACCAAGACAGGCAAAAGAACATAGCCCTCTCAAGCAAATAAGATTAAAACAGGCATTCCATACCTGGCCTTTTATGATTCTGCCAGCTCGATCATATTCAACTTCTTTCTCACTTTGTCCTAGTAACAGCTCTCGTGGAAGCATTTCTTCAGTTGCAGCATTGCCATACTTTTCCATGATTTTGTCTTTCGTTTGAGATTTCAACTTCTCCTTATTAACCTTGAAGTTCTTGTAAAGTAATTCAGCTTGTGAAGGAGCTGCTTGCATATGAACATCTTGACCCTTGTCAAATGCTTCCCAAGCATGTATATTGAGCTGCTTAAACTCCAATGCTTGACCACTCACTCTGTTCTGGTTATCTCCCTAAAATTTTAACATCGATTATCAGCATGTTATGTCAAACACATAAGTATACAACATTATCAAAACAATATCTCCATTGGTATATACATGATACTTACTGCGTAAAACTTCTCATTCGGATCCATATCTGGAAGAGGATCCTCACGCATAGAGCGTGTTTTTGGGTCATAGTGAGCAGAATTAACATCAAGATTGAGAAGATATTTAGCAGTATCCTCTCGAATACGTAAATTCCTGTTCAATAATAGAAGAATTGTTAAGTATGCATTACTACATTCCCCACAGAGTGGTAAGCAAGCCGCTTAGAAGAATTCAGATATCAACCCTCATCACAAAAGTCCCTAACAGAGATAAATGACTACAGAATCAAACTTCTACAACTCAGTATAACCAAAAGTCTTTTGTTGACTGAATATTTCACTTGTGCAATCAGAATTATATAAACCGTAGGATTGAAAAAAGTAGACAACATTTACCTGACAGTTCCAGTGCTGCCACCACCTGTAGTACGGACACGCTTTTCAACCTTTGCAAAGTCCATTTGGTTGCTCTCATCAACTTTGGCTTCATCAATCTTCAAGGAGTCCTCGTCATTATCTTCATCATCGCTGACTCCATCTTCATTCTGGTTATTATTTTTCTCCTCCAGCTTCTTAAGTTGTTGCTCCTTCAAATACTTGCTTCTTGCTTCGTCCCTAGCTTCATACCGCTGGATAACATGGGCATAAGATGCAGCATCATATCCATTCCAACGGTCTCGCTTTCCATCATAGTCAAGCTCAAATGTCTCAATCTTCTCATCCGGAGCAATATGTTTTCCAGTCCACTTCGCTCCAATTTTGCGTGGCCTATCTACACAGGACTTCTTGTCATGCGTCATAGCCCCACAACTGCAGCAAGCACAAGAAAACAGTCAAAGCTATAATCATCAACTTCAACTTGTATTCAAGATAACAAAACCAAAACCATTTTATATTACTCCTCACAAATTATGCTACTACTGCATATCTCATTTACCATTTTAAAAAAAATAAAAATCTCATGTACTAAACTGTGATAATTTTTAAACTACAAATAGATAGGAGATGGATTGCACACAATAGTAGGGAAGACATTAACACTTGTTCAGATAGGTCAAAAAGTTGCAAGCATATACATAAAACAAACATAAAAATCAAAGGTTGGGATTTCACATACTTCTCGCAAGCCCCCTTCCTGTATTTTTCAGCTTGGAAAGTCTTTGCACCTCTATCATACCACGACTTAGTATAATTTGGATCTGACTTCCACTTCCTTTGATGTTTCAAACTCTAAAATGCACCAAGAGAAATAAATAAATAAGAACTTCATAAAGATATGCAACACAAAAAGTGTTGAATGGATTTGCAGAAGAAAAGAAACCAAATATAAAATTATAGCATACCGGTCTCTCTGCATTCAAATACCAGGGGGCCGATGACATATACTGGGGAATATGAGGATTGATTTCCTTTCCATCCTCATCCACTTCAGCTGGAGCAAGTCCAGCCTTGCGGGCCTCTTCCAATTCGAGCTGTTTCCTGTGGTCCTCCCGGGATTTAAAAGCCACTGGGACGCCCAGAATCAACATATAAGAAGGCATTCTTAATGAATAAAATAGTAGGTATATTTTAAAGTGCACTCAGAATAATTGAACGAAAAAAAAAAATAAGTCAAGAACGCGTACAATGTATAGAACAACAGAAACCTATACAAACAACAGCGATGGAAATCATCGAAAATTCCAAATCCAATAAGTATACTACAACTACAACACCAGGCAAGACAGGAAAAATTACATAAATGGTTCACATAAAGGACTATATAAAAGAAAATGAAAGAAGGGCTATCATTCATAAGTCGGCTCCTAATTATAAAATTGAAAAGGAGATGAACGCGATCGAGTTAAGGTTTCACAATACCCTAGAACAATCAAAGTTACCATATCTTTATCGATATCAATTAGACAATAAATTTTCTAAATCCGGCATGAACACCCCATAACCCTAGCGAGTTGGATCGAAGCAGCGAAATCAAGAAAATCCGCATATAAATTTCGACAATAACGAATTACAATTGAAAACAATAAACAGCACCTGAAGCTGTCGCCATAGTTGAAGCAGCCGAAAATCAAAACAAGCCAAGCGAGAACGAGCACGAACTTTTTCGACAGGGGGTTGAGAACCTGCGGATTAGGGATATAAATAACACACGGATACGCGGTTGTGGAAAATAGCTCAGTACGACACCGTATTGCGATGGGCTTATCAAAAGCTTCATAAAACGCCCATTGACCTTTTGAGGCCCATTAATCTACTATAGATTTAGATACGAATCTAATCAAAAAAAATCTGGGGTTTTACTGTAAATTTACCGTTAAACACCCAACCTACAATATTTATTTATAATTATTTTAATTATAATATATTAATATTTTTTATTTTTTAAATATAACTTTTATTTTATCTATATCACATTAGTTTTCTCATATTCTATTAAAATTTAATTATTGCAACCCATATAATTACTAAAAATTTAAATTTTACAGACGCAATCTATTAAAATTCTATTACAAACCAACACATCCTAAGCGTCATTCTTAAAATCTAGTATTAACTAAATTATAAATATTACATTCAATGTTTATTTTTATTTAGTATATTCCTCTTTCTTCCTTAGTATGCCTACATTTTTGTTTCTATTAAAAAATATATGTATTCTAATTTAATTTTAAATTTGTTAATTTATATTTTATTTTATTTTTTAAAATTAATTAATTATTTTAATATTGATTTATAATTATTTTTATTATATAATAATTATTTTACAAATATATTTTTAACTATTTATTAATTAAAAATTTTGTCTTTATAAAATGGAAACGTAGCTGAAACGTAAATAATGTATCAAAATACCACATAGTTCAACATCTGTTTCTATTTTTATTATTGATTAAATAACTTACAGCCGAAAAATTTTAGCATTATTTATTCAAAAATATATCAGTACATATAGCATGCATACGTTAAATATATATATATATATATATGTACCTCACATGCTTAAATGTGTTATTTTCACGTCGTTTTATATTGCCAACTATTCCCCTAAAATACTTTAAATTGTAACTAAAAAATCCTTAATACATTATCAAAACCCTTTATTTATTTATATTTTGGAATGTAGTATGATAGCATTAATACCATTTTATTGAAGTATTTAAGATGTGGTAGCTTGAGCATCAAATTAAACATCATTCTTAAATAAAGATTGTATATTTAAATTATTTGTTAAAATTATCTAAAAATGTTTTTTAAAAAAAAAAGATCATCAAAATTACAACTCAGATTTGTCCCAAAAAACCTCACACAAAAATCAGAGGAAAATTAATTGATTAATTTAATTACCAAATTTGTGGTAATTCAAAGTCAATGAACTCCTCCTCTAAACCGTTACAACTATTATTATAATAATAATAATTATTATTATTATTATTATTGGCAAACAGATCTTCCCAAAACCCGTTCCCTCCCATCTCCGAATCCAACCAATTCCCGTACTCAACCTCCGATTCGCCGGAGAAACCACTCCACTCGCTCCCCGGAATGTCCTCCCACCAATCGCTCAGAAGCCTCGTCGTCTCCTCGAAGTCGTCGGAGCTGGCGGCGCCGGCGGCGGTGGAACCAGAGGAGGCGTCGTCGCCGCTGGATGATGGCGCCGGCGAATTGAGCTGACCCGGGCAGGGCATTTGGGTCCCGAATCCGGGTTCGGGCACGGGTCTGGATGCTCCGCTGTTGAGCCTGAGCCTCTTCTTCAGGTGCGTGTGCCACACGTTCTTTATCTCGTTGTCGGTCCGGCCAGGCAGCCGGGCAGCGATTACCGACCATCTGCAATAAGAAACGGTCAGATCATATCGCCGGAGACGAAGAATACGAAATTAAAATAAATATAATAAATTGTTATACACACTTGTTTCCGAGCTCTGCGTGTAATCTGAGGATGGTTTCCTCCTCGTTAGAGGTGAAATTGCCTCGCTTGATGTCCGGCCGGAGGTAGTTCATCCACCGGAGACGGCAGCTCTTGCCGCACCTCATCAGGCCTGTTTGTTTAGAATATTTAAAAATATCAGATTAATTCAAAACAAACAAAAATCGATGGAGAGAACGGATTCCGGCGTCCGTACGTACGTACCGGCGCGTTTGGGAAGTGCCCGCCAATTGCCGTGGCCGTTGCGGGCGATGTAATTGACGAGAATGTTGTCTTCTTCGGAGGTCCAGGGACCTTTCTTCAGCCCCATTTTCTCACAGCATGGAGTCCTCACCATGTCTGTATGTATTGTGTATGTATATGCGTCTGAACTGGATTTTGAGATGAAGAAGTGGTTTGGATTGGGCAGTGAGTTTACATGTATATATATGAATGAATTAGGGATTAAAAAATTGGGGAATGGTGGAGTGATGATTAGAATAAGAAAAATAAAATAAAAGTGGCACTTTTTATAGTCTGATAAAAATTAAAATCGACATTGTAAGCGAATGGAGGTACGAAGGCGTGCGGAAGGATGAAGACGCAGTTTCCACAAGGTCCAGGGCGTAAAGCTCCGCATAAGTATTTACAAATCAGTAAGCGGTTCAGGATTTAAGGTCCCGGGAGCTTGCAAAAGTCATCCCCACAAGGATGGCGGCCGGGCGTTTCCAGGAAATGGAGCCGCAACGATTTTAAATTAAGTAATTAATTAATAGTACAATAGTCCAATTAAGCACGTGAGATTTACTGTTTTACTAGATTGTGTCACTCACAAAGCTGGAATAAAACAAAAATATTGAATAAATTTAATCTAATAAGCATGGCACAAAACAATAATTAAATTACGAAAGGGTGTGTTTGGTTTGATTTTCTTTCATTATTTTAATTTTGTATTTTTTTATTTAAATAATCATTTTATATGATATTCTGGAAATAAAATATATATATATATAGTGAAAAATATTAAAATAAATAATAGAAAATTAGTAAAACACTTAGCAAAGAGAAACCAACCCTATTTGATTAATGAAGTGAGTTATAGCATAACTGTAATGTGATGCTCTATGTATTATTGATCATTTCTCTTTGCCAGAAAAGGACAAAATTTACTAGGGGAGTAATAATCTTCTAGGTTGACCAGGAAAAATAAGGATAAAATAATGAGTAATATCTTTTTTTCATTCAAATTTATTTATTTATTTTTATTGTCATACCGAGGAAGTATATTTTTAAAAAAATCTAAGGCATGTAGATGTTGAAAATTGAAATAGTTATCTGGAGAGTGGTGAGAGTCAAACAGGACATACAAAGTGGGCTAATAATAATAATTCCATCTGTCAATTATACGTAATTGTCAAAAATGGCAAACAAACACCGGAATATTGATCATTCTTAGCTTCTACAAAGGAGGCTCTTTTCATCATTCTTCTAAGCTTCACACTCTTCATTTATTGGCTTATTTATTTTAGAAAAATATACTTATTTTTTTTTATTATTAGATTATGCTGTAAGATTTTTTTATTTTTTATTTCTTTTAAGATCAGTAAGTTGTGGTTCTTAGGATAGATATTTTGAGATGGTTTGTGACAACTAGGTAAAGGGGAGTTAATCTTCATTAGCCGCCTAACTAGTGGTGAATTAAATAAATTTTAAATTTCATATCCCCTAAATATAGATATTTCTAACATAAACAAGCCTATCAGATATTATTTTAATTAAAAATTCAAATTTCAAAACTCAACCAAAACTGAAAAAAAAAAAAATATATATATATATATATATATATATAGTGGTGGTAACAAGGGACTATCTCTAATTAATGAATTGATTGTCTCATAGTCAGCGTAAAACAAAAAAAAAAAATGGAAGAAGAAAAAGAAGAAATAGAATAACAACTTAGATCAGGATATTTTCATGTTGGTCCGGTCCGTTTTCAAATCAGGCATGAAAAGCTAAACCCACAATCAAATGTAGATAGAATAAAAATTTTACTATCAAATTATATTTTAATTATTGTTATTATTCTATTAGTTACTATACATATAAATAATTAAATTTGAATTATTAATTTTAATAAATATGTCATGATCAAGAACGGTCTAATTTAACATGGGCTCGAACATGGCTCGGCTCACTGGCTTGGAGCACTGTCCAAAAAATTTTAGGCATATTTTTTATGGATAATAATAATAATATAACTGAATTCGAGTCACTTCATTTAGGTTGAAATTCAAGAATCATCAAGAAAATAGAAAGTCAATTGAAGTTTGAATTGAGTTGATAGTATTGGTGGTTGGTCATATGCTTATATTATATATATATAAACTCTTAGGAATAAATAAATAAAATAACAACCAACTAAAGATGTAATGATCACTAAATCTATTGTTGTAATATAATGATAATATTAACAATATATATATATAATGATATCATGAAACCACTAAAAACAATAAAGAGCCCCAATACATTGTACTCCCTTACAATATTTGCATTTACATATATTATAACAATATATAATTAGTGATATCCATCGGGTCAGCTAATCACCTTAGATCTTCGAAATCCTCAATCTTTTATAATTATAATTATAATTATAATTATAATTAAAATATATAGAGAAAGAGAAACAGATAAGACCACGAGTGTGTTTTAAATTAAGAAAATTAATTATGAGGCCACCTCTTATAAGGAATTTGAACTCAACCAGACCGACCGGTCCGGTTCGGACCGGATCAAATTAGTAAATATTATTTTATTCGTTCCTTAATAATTTATCTATTTTCCATTTTGGTATGTCCTATAACTAATTATTATTATTTTTTTTAGTAATTGTACTCTCTACCTAACATTACAAATACCCTTATAATTTACAATATATTACACAAATGTCATTACATTTATATCATACAATATTAAAAGGGTTATGAGCTGATGAAAGGAGGTTACCGGGTAGTTAGGGGCTGATGGAAGGATGTTACCAAAGAACTGATGGAAGGAGGTTACCAGGCAGTTAGAAGTAGTAGAATGAAATTACCAGACAATTGAGGTGTAGCGGGAGGTTACCAGACTGTTGAGAGTGGCGGAGAAATAATTAGAACGGCCCCTTTAGTGGAAAGAGGCGATTATTCTATTTTAAGATTAAAACTAGGAAAAAACACATCACACACACGCGCACAAGAAGATAAACTCGCATATTTCTCTATTTCCTTTTCGTAGTTTTTTAGTTTTCATTTATGTATTTTAATTTGAATTACTTGTCTTTATATTTCTAGCATATTTTTATCCGCTTTTCAGTAGATTTACCCGAGTTTTCATAGATGTTAGTTTAAATCCATCGAAATCGATCGTTTAGACTCGAAGCCTTATTTAAGATCGATGCCGTGCAAGCTCCATTGTAGGAGCCGCCTCTAATCCGACGACGGACAGATTCTTTGGAATACTTTCGGAACTCACATCGACGAATCGACGAACTATTTTGGAACCTCCGAATTTTAGGATCCAATAATTACATATTATATGGAGTTCGACTAAGTAATTACTACTCATCTATAATTTTATTTTATTTTATTTTTTAATCCAAACTTTTTTCAGTTTTCATTTTTAGTAAAAAAAATCTATTATTATTATTATTATTATTTTATTTCGTACCCGGTCAAGGTAATAAGGAAAATGAAGGTGTTGCTTTATGCGAACACTTGTGAACCACTTTATATAATTAGCCTCCTCGTCGTTATCTCTTTCACGTAACTTGTTACATTATTACTATTATTTTAATTAAACACAATTGAATACTATTTTAATTTAATTTAATTTAATTGATGACGATTGTTGATTCATGCATGTACCACATGAAAAAGGCCCACAGTTCAATTCGTCGACATAAATAATTAAGAATAAATTCACGTGCCTTAAATTTAAATTTATGGTATTATATTTATACACAACCATCACATGCACTATACTCATTTCATCATTTCATCTCCACTCACTTTAACTTATCTTTCATTTATTATCTCATCACATATAATCTGCCATAAATATCTACTTTTTGATTAAAAATTACTATCTTTATCCATGATTAATTTATTCATTTTGTAATTTGAAATTGTTCACAATAGTAAATTTTATCTATTTTTATTTAGTAAATATATTCATTCTAATAATAAAACATCCTTGAATCTCATCTAAAATTATCATAATTTACACTCTCACACAATATGTACCACACACAAAATAATACTCGTTCAATCCCGCAACTATAGTCTTGGTTTGTTGGATACAGAATTTAAAAAATATTGATATTATATTGATAATGGGTAAAAAATATAGATAAACCTTGTGAGTTTATTAATGTAAAAGTAGTGATAATTGTGTAATAATAATGAAAGAGTAAATATAATTTCATATGGAAATAAGACTGTGATGAAAAAAATAATAAACAAAAATATTGTATTGGGAGGGAGGTAGTACGTTGTTTTAAGTTTGGTTTGAGATTGAAGTTGTTATTTAATTTTTAATATAATATTTTATTTTTAAAAAAAACAATATGTTATGATTGTAAAAATTGCAAATTAGATCGTAGTGACTTGAATTTAAATCTTAAACTAGTATGATTATGTGATGTTAGTTGGATGTAAAACTAATATAATAATTAAATAATAATAATAATAATTGAAATTAAACGAAATTAATATGGAGTGGTGTGGCTCTGCGTATCAATGTCGTAAAGATTTTATTTTTAAAATTTACCAATATATTAATTACTCAGTAAAAGGGCGTGTGTGTGAAAAAATTATCGGAAGTTCGGACACGTGGACGGTGGAAAACACGACCGGAAAACCAGGGAATATTCCGGCTAAGATACTTTTTTTCCCGCCACATATTAATACTCGGCCTCTTGACTTTCCTTCCAACGGAATTTCAACCAATTCAATAATTTATAGCTCCCTCTCATTACAGGTTCTCGCCTGGAATCGCTCCAATCGTACGTACATTCTGCTCTCTGTTTCAGAATTTATCCATTTGTATTTCCCCCAAATTCTAGGGTTAGCTTATCATTGCTCCATAGCTGCGTCTGTCGAAATTTAAGCCTTGCAGCAGCCATGTTTCAGAGATTTCTCGATAACGATTTTGATTAATTTTCTTCGTACCTGTTCGAGAGCATTTGCTCCGGAGTAATGTTTGCAGAGAAAGAGGGATATTAGACAAGACAACAATGGCGGAGGAGAATCTGCACGTCCTGAGCGCTCTGGACGTGGCGAAAACCCAATGGTATCATTTCACGACGATCATCATCGCCGGGATGGGATTTTTCACCGACGCCTACGATCTATTTTGCATCTCTCTTGTCACGAAATTGCTCGGCCGGATATACTACCACGTCGACCGCTCTCCGAAGCCGGGCACCCTGCCGCCGAACGTCGCGGCGGCAGTCAACGGTGTCGCGCTGTGCGGCACGCTCGCCGGGCAGCTCTTCTTCGGCTGGCTCGGGGACAAGATGGGCCGGAAGAAGGTCTATGGCGTGACGCTCATGCTCATGTGCGTTTGTTCCATCGCCTCCGGCTTCTCCTTCGGACACGACGCTAAATCGGTCATGGGAACTCTCTGCTTCTTCAGATTCTGGCTCGGATTCGGCATCGGCGGGGATTACCCGCTCTCGGCAACCATCATGTCCGAGTACGCTAATAAGAAGACTCGAGGGGCATTCGTTGCTGCCGTGTTCGCCATGCAAGGATTCGGTATTGTTCGACATGTTTTTGTCGTCGTCGTCGTCCATAGGGTATTTGATCCTTTCTAAATCGCACTCGACTTCAACAGGTATCCTTGCTGCCGGGGCGTTCTCGATGCTCGTCTCCTACGTATTTCAATTAAGGTTCAAGGCTCCAGCATACGAGGTCAATCCGATCGGCTCAACCGTTCCACAAGCAGACCATGTATGGAGGATAATTATGATGTTCGGCGCCATCCCAGCTTTGCTAACGTACTACTGGCGGATGAAGATGCCGGAAACTGCCCGGTACACCGCCTTGGTCGCGCATAACGCGAAGAGGGCAGCAGCCGACATGTCGAAGGTCTTGCAGGTGGAAATCGAAGCGGAGCCGCAGAAGGCGGATCAGATTGCCGAGAAGCAGAAGAGCTACGGTCTATTCTCAAAGGAATTCTTCGTACAACACGGGCTTCACTTGCTCGGAACCACATCCACTTGGTTCTTACTCGACATCGCGTTCTACAGCCAGAATCTCTTCCAGAAAGACATCTTCACCGCAATTGGTTGGATTCCTCCGGCAAAAACCATGAGCGCGATACAAGAAGTGTTTGTAATCGCCCGGGCACAGACCCTAATTGCGCTGTGCAGCACAGTCCCAGGGTACTGGTTCACGGTGGCCCTCATCGACATCATCGGACGGTTCACTATACAGATCATAGGATTCTCGTTCATGACAGTGTTCATGTTCGCCCTCGCCATTCCTTACCATTACTGGACCAAACCCGAAAACCGGATCGGCTTTGTAGTGATGTACTCCCTGACCTTCTTCTTCGCAAACTTCGGGCCAAATGCTACCACATTTGTCGTCCCAGCTGAGATCTTCCCAGCAAGGCTGCGCTCGACCTGCCATGGAATATCAGCAGCTTCCGGGAAGCTGGGAGCCATAGTGGGGGCCTTTGGGTTCTTGTACCTAGCGCAGAACCGAGACCCGAGCAAGGCAGATCCCGGGTACCCACCCGGAATTGGGGTGCAGTATTCACTCCTAGTGTTGGGAGTTATCAACCTGTTAGGCCTTTTCTGCACATTCTTGGTCCCTGAATCGAAGGGAAAATCCCTGGAGGACCTGTCAGGGGAAAACAGGGAAGCTGGGGGTGCCAGTAGCAGTAAAGCTTAAGAGAATTCATTCAATTTTTTTGTAAATATGACGTTCATTGATTCAAAATTGCATCTTCTTTATTGCAGATGTAGTGTCTAGTTTTGCTTCTATTCAATTCGATCATTAATCGTTATTTCATTGATGAAATTACACATGTAATAATAATGCCTACAAAGCAGAATTTTTGTTCGATTCTTGTTGACCGTTTCATACATTTTCAACACTCAAAGATGCTGAGAATAGCCAATGGTAGAAAAACCATAACAATATAAGCACTGAATCATCCAACTTACAAACGGTTAGTTAGCCCGGTCTTTTATCACTTCCAAGTCCATTTCTGTCGGGTCGGTTGCCTGAATCTCGTAATGCACACCATCCAGAGCTCTCTTGAAGCTCTCCTTAGATGTTGCATAAAGCATCTTTGCACGGATTCGGGAGGTTGCAGGAGCCCTACATATCCCATAGACATTTTAGACATCAAAGGGAAGTACAGATTTATGTGCTCGAATAAAACTTTATTTGTGTAATAACACACAATAAGCCATATGCTGCATACATTTATCTGTAGTGTGCGCTGTGCGTGTAAATATACCAGGCAATGAAGAATATCTTGCTCTTCTGGCAATTCTCGGCAGTCACAAAGTCGAAGTCATAGACGGCGTATCTGCAGTCGTTCTCTGGCAATGATTCAGAAAAATCAGTATAGCTTTCAGCAGAGCCACCTGTTTTGTCAACAACAACCTCATTCTTGTTTTCATCGATTCTGAAGATCACGTATCGGTGAGCCTTCTTCCTCTTCAGCTCTAAGAATGCCTTCTTGCTGTGATCAGCAATTACCATGCCTGGCGATGCACTCGCCTACACATCGATTGATTTCCAAGATATGATCAATGATTCATTTAGGCATAAGTTTACTTTTCAAACCCAAGACAAACCCTAAACATGATCATCAACATTTAAGTCAAATATGTTCACATACAACAGCTAAAAGCAACAATTGAGATCTTGTCCAAATATACACCATGATTATCACGAGTTCTCCACAGAATCAATGGGAATTGTTACAGCACCATTTTTTGTAATGGTTCCAAGTAATAACTATTAATCTCTTTACATCACCTTCTATCTTTCTCCACATTAGTTTCAAACTAATTCACATTACAGAAGACCAAGACAAAATCATCCTGTGCTCACAAATTCGGATGAAATCATACCACTCAATTGGAAAATCTATATACAAGTAGTCGATTGTAATGGATTTCAATTCAAAAAACCCTAGCACCAATCAAAAACTGATGTAAATGAAACAGATTCTCCTATCATCCGACTGGAAAATACAGTAAAATTGAAAAGCAAATGAAGTGAAAAATGACGGAGAACTGATTTACCCCTCTTATTCTGAAGGACATGGCTGCAATGGCGCTCGATGAACCGAATGAAGAGGAATCCGAAAAATTCTGTTAAGAAAAATATCAGAGATTTTCAAAGAATGAAGAGTATCGGCAGTAATTTGGGGTTTTTAATTGGGAATCGAATATAAACCACAAGAGTTCGAAGGAGAATCAGATTCCTTTCCAACAGAGGGTAGAAAATTGGTAGAAGACGAAGAATCAATCACACGAATTGGTTAAAATATTTACTCAGATAGAAAGCGGGGCTGGGGATGGGACGGTGCGTAGGGAAAACGCAGCCATTGATGCTTTTGAATTTGACAATTCAGTTCATTATTATCATAAATGAAATTAAAATACTAAATACATTTTAAAATTATTTTCTATACTATTCGATTTTGTTTTAAGAAAATATGTTTATTTGAATTAAATTATATTTTTAATTCGATCTTTATTATTTTTAAAACAAAATTAAAATTTACTGAATGAAAAAGTAAAATGATAACACAACAGTTCCATGATTAGCCTAGCCCAATGTATTATTGGGCCTTATCCACACCTACAAAAACAGATCAACTATTCATTAAGTTCAATTAAATGGTCCGGCCCGGCCCGGTCTAACCTAATGTATTTTATTGCAATTTTTATTCATTAGTTACTCTTTGTTTTAACAACATCCGTATTTACGTTTTAAAAATATTATTTATAATTAATAATAAAAACATCACATTTAATATTGTATTTTTAATATTAAAAAATACCCATCCATTAACGTTATTTGACGTTTTCTTATTTACATTTTTCGGGTCCATTACTAAAATTTATGAAAAGTCGCTCCTCAATTATGTAAACATATAAATATTATTATATAATTTTATATTAAAACAACTACAAACATGCACACAGAAAGAATGGCTCATAATTGTTAGTTGAAAAAAGAAAAGAAAAATCTTTATTATTTAAATATTCATTTATTTGTCAAATCTAGTCTATGTTTTCTTTGCCTGAGATCTCTATCTTGAACAAATTCAATATAAAGTTGAATTCTTCTAGATAATCTACTATTTAAATGAATTATTTTAACACCACAAAATAATTACGACAAGGAATAAAATAACATTTTTTTAGTAATTTAATAAATATATGTATTGATTTAAATATCTATTTATTTTAAATAAAGTATCCTTATCACAGTTTAAAATTACCGACACAAACCGGCCTAAGAATTACATGTGTTATTTTGGTAAATCATTATGGAAATAAATTGAAATTAAGCAAATGGATTAAATATATATATATATATATATTCTTAATTTATTTAAATGGGGTGGTGACTTTTCCATGACCCATCATTTTCAACTTTAGATGAAAGTAATGGCTACAAGTTGTAGGAGTAATGGATAATTATTTACTTACTAATCTATAGGTACGTAATTTAATTGATAATTATCCACTAACTTATATCCTTTTTTCTTTTAATAATCTTTAAAAAATGTGCGTTTTGATATATTTATCAAATTATTAGTAAAAAAGTACAGTTATTATTTAAAATTGTATTTACTATTTTTTTCCGTATATCTATGATACTATATTATTTAAAATTTATATTATTAATACTATAAATATTTCAATTTTACATAATAACTAAAAGTTTTGAACACATTAATTTTATTTTATTTTATTTTTTTTAAAAAAAAAAAAAAAAAAGCACGAGGGAGTACTAATATTACAAAACCGTAATTAAATTGCAAAATTAATTAAATGGAAGTGATGGAGGAGGAAGACGACGTCGTTGGGGAGGAACTGCAGTTCAGAAGCGCTTCCAGATAGTCGGCTCCCAAATCCTCGAAAACCACCACAGGACGAGGATTTTGATTTTGATTCTGAGAATCGCCATGGATGTTGTTGTTGTTGTTGTTGCTGCTGCTGCTACCTGGTTTCCTCCTCACGGATTTCTTCTTCTTCAAGGAATGGCGTCTCTTAAGCGCGATGACGGGGCTACACGCTTCCGCCGGCCACTGCATTTGCTCGAGCGACTCCACCACCGTGTCCACCGAGAAGTTCATTACCGCCGCGTCGCCGCGCATCGAGAATGCTGCCTGATCGTACGCCAGCGCCGCCGCCTCCGCGCTGTCGAAGGTTCCGAGCCAGACGCGGACGCCGTTCCGAGTCGAATCCCTAATCTCCGCCGCGAACTTCCCCCACGGCCGCCGCCGGACGCCTCTGTAGGCTCTCTCCGTGATCCTCTCACCGCTGCGTTTCGTTCGCGAGCTGAATCTGATCTCTCCGCCGCCTTCGCCTTCGCCTTCGCCTTCGTTATTAGGTTTCGAGGTTGAAATTGGGGAAAACGAATCCTTAATTTCGCTCTGCTCCAGAACTCCGTACAGAAGCATGTCCTGCGAATCGTACATGTCGAATGGAAGCGAAAATTCCTCCAATCCCCAAGGCATGGAAGACGACGCAGGCGAGAATTCCGAACTTGCGTTCATCAATTGATACGGAGAAGAAGATGAAGACGAAGCCTCAGTCTCCATTGATCCTCCAATTTGGAATGAGATTCAAGCTTCTTCCAACGCACTGCACTGCACTGCGCTTGGGTTTATATACCGGAAGAAATTTGGATTTTTCACTAAAATTTAATTAATAAACAATAATACAATGTGCAAATTTACCCGACTCCCAGGACCTTAAAACCAGAAGCGCTAATTATTTCAAATCATCGTCTTCTTCTATTGGAGTCCCGGAGCTTTGTCATGTTAGCAAAACCCGAGTAAGATAAAAAGACTGAAACTGAATAAATTTGGATATAATATAATACTATAAATAGGGAAATAATAATAATAAATTACGTGATTGGTTGTGTGGCACAATGTGTGGGGCCTATTTAATTAATTAATTAATTAGTAGGATAGTCAAGTATGACGCAAGGCGGCGGGGGTCCCCCAACGTTACTATGTGTAATTACTTCATTTATTTTTAGTATGTTCAAAATGATTATTTTTGTTATTGATTTAATCTAGAGACAATTTATTTTGAAATTCGAGTGTGGATGGAGTTGAAAATAGAGTTTATACTACTATATCTATTTTGATTTTTTTTTATTACTATATAAGATTTATAACCTTTTATAATAATATACCATTTCCGAAGCTCTATGTTTAATTCATTATTGAAATTAAAAAAGCGAAAAATCAATATATGACAAAACATACATTTCACACCCACAGTATTTATAGATGTGTTTTTTTTAACGTAAATTTATCAAAATTTACTATTTTAATTTTATCTTTTCTGAAAAAAAAAAATAATAATAAAATGGGATCCCAATTTTATTTTACTTGAATAATAGTTAAGTTGAATGTCGATTCTTATTTAAATTCAACTTTGGTTGATAAAAAATTGATCCGTTTATAAATATGAAGGTATGTTTGCTTACGTTTGCATTTTGATTATTTTTTTGTTAGTGTTAATATTTATCATTGATTTATTTATTTGGGTAAACATATATATATATATATATTCCTTTGAAACTTAATTAAATTTTAAATTATAGTTATTTTAACATAAATTACTACTACATCCGTCCAACCAGAAAGTATACATATTTTTATTTTGGGACGTCCAATTACAAAGTAAACATTTCATTAAATACCTGACGTTTTTTCATAAATACCCTTACTTTATATCACATCATTACTTTTACACCAAAAAGCAAGGACAAAAATGTCATTTTACTAACTTTTAACTACTCACTATAATTAAAATACTATTATTTTTTAAACACCGTGCCAAAAATAAATATTTACTTTGTGTGGGTGGACGAGGGAGTATTAAATATTTAGATTTAAATTATTTATTTTAAATAATGGAGTAGTTGAATATAGTCTGTATATATATATATACATACTTATAAAGAAAACTATATATAATTACAAAAGAAATATTACTATTATTATTTTTAGAAAGGGAACAGCCAAAATATATATTATTGTATATGTGCGTGGTCGAGTAAATTAAAAATGAAATATTAACCAATTAATAATCTGTCTTGGTATCATGTGTGCCTATGAATTGACAACAATTATTTTGTTGTTGTTGTTGTTATTAAAAAAAAAACAATAATTTGGTTGCAATTTGCATATTTCTTGTCGTTTAGCGGCTGCTGCATGCCTTAATCAGCAGGCAATTCTGAAATGGGCACAAATTTAAATTTAATTATCATTTGACCTTTTAATTATTTCGTTTTCATAAATAGATATTATTGCCTCTCATAAACAACTGACACTATCCTGATCCTATATAATTAATTAATTAATTAATTAATTTATTTATTGGCACTGTATTTTGTAAATATAATTGATATTAATTAATTAATTATTTGAAAACCCAGTCACTTAATATATTTGACACTAAACTAATCTTCATGCGTGATACATATATATATATATATATATAAAATGTTCCTGTTGTGACTAGGACGAGTGCTAATAATATTACTCTAATTAATTAGCTATTAAATAATTCATACTAAATTATCAAAGCTTTGACAATTACACTCTTCATTTTTAATTTGTGGTAACTAATTATACGGTAAAAAATAATGTCAAAATTGAAGTTTAATTATTGGTGCTAATTAGTTGCCTCTTGAAAAAAAACAAAAAAAGTGTACGGAAAATTCCAACAATGATTTTTTTTTTTCGAATTAGTGTAGTGTTTATATTTATTTATGTGCTATTAAATATATTAATTTATATATATACTAATATTATATTAAATATATATATTTATATATTTATGTAAAATATTAGATTCAACAATATATATATATAGTTGTGTTTGGTTTTTGAGTTTTTATTATTGTTAGCAAAAAAATTTACACACAATATTTAATATTTATACTATTAGTTTATTTGATTGTAGTTTAAAATTGATTTGAATCAGAGTATTGATATGAGTTTTTCTTTTGATGTGATATTTCATGAGATAAAAAATATATATTTTAATTGACAATTGTGTTAAGTAAATAATACTCCCTCCGTCTCAGAACTATAGTCTCAGTTGTGTCTGACACGGGATTTAAGGAATATTGATATTATATTGGTAGTTGGTAAAAAGTACAGGTAAAATGAGTATAGTAGTGTAAAAAGTAGTGACAATTGTGTAATAATAATGAAAAAGTAATGGTAATTTTACAGTGATATGATTATTTATAGAAATGAAACTATTGTTTTGGGACGAAGGGATTATTAATTTTGATTTCAAATATTAAAAGAACAAATTAGCCACATAATTCTCCATGATTCTCATAAAATATGAGAACTCAAACACTATTTACTTTTTTTGTGAGTGAACATAATATATATATATATATATATTATATACTGCTTTAGTGTATGCATATACATTTTTAGTAATATTTATTCAAAATTATTTCACCAAAAAAATGTTGGATGAACAAACTTTTTACTCCATAAATATTTTTTTTCTAGGAAAATATCTCATGCCTAACATGTATTTTAAGTGGCATAATTTTAATAGTGATGGTAAATGTATAAAATAAAAAAATTACAAAAGTTTATTAATATAAATTAAAAATAATACTAGTAAAATTCTTTTGGAGTGAAAGAGGAAGACTAGCCTACATATGGTATATATATATATATATATCTATTTGAAAATTTTTTAAAATAATAAAAAATTATATATTTAATATAAATTTTTACCAAAAAAAATAAATAGGTCAAAACATATTTTTTGAAATATTTGTCAAAAATAAAATTTAAATGTATGCAAGAAAATGCAATAAACTTGGTAAAAAAATTAAAAAGAAAATGTGGAGTTGGTTGGGGCAGTTACTAATCTGTAGCAGTCGGATCATATTCTTCTGACCATTTTATTTTAAAATTTTGAATTCATCGTATCTGTCCATTTATATATATATTTAATTTAAACAATAATAAATATAACAATAAATAGTAAAAGTTGCAAATGATACCACACTCCTTAGTGTGAAAAAAAAATAGATTTTGTGTCATATATTATTTAATTCATGTTGTTGTTTTTGTACATCACATATTTTATATTATTTTCTTTTAATTATATTTATAATTTTTATTTAATTAAATATTTTAATTTATAATTATTTGTATTGTATTGTAATTATATTTATTTTAAATTTTTGTATAGTCAGAAATCAATTTCGATGAAAAAAAAAAAAAGAAAGGTAATAAAAAAAACGTTATATTATTAATTTACATTTGAATGAATTAAATTTTGAATAAAAAAATGAAATAATGATGTGGGCAAGATTGGATGTTTATTTTGTTTAGTGGGGCACCAGATCAGACCAGATTCTGCTAATGTCTCTAAAATCTGTCACTTTTTTTAAGTATTGGATTTGGAATTGGACTTACCAATCATGATTGATGCTATTTATTTATTTATTTATTTTACAAACAATTATGCTCTATATTTTAATTTTATTCGAAGCTTTCCAGGAAGTTGAGGTTTTCAGTTTTTCTGGTTTCGATTATTTTTATTTATATATCATTGAATAATGCCTGCTTGCCTCTTTCCCCGAAGCTGCAATAACTTATTCAACTATTAAACCTTACAACAATAAATAATTTAGTCACGTATTGGACATAACAATTATCAAAGTTGAATTTTATTTATATAGTACAGAAAATTAATACTAACACAAATGAACAAAATAAAGAGAACACCCTTTATAACACAATACTCAAATCACACAACTCATGGCAATCTAAGTCATTGATCATATTGAACTTTAAAGTTAAACATGGTTTTTTACTTCCCGGAAAATTATTCTTGTGTTTTTACAAAAAAATAAATAAATAAAACACAATCCTCAAATCACATTAGGTAATCATTATTAACCTTTTTTAAAAAATAACTGACTGTAAATTATACTATATATGATGCAGTTCTAAAATTATACATGTGTTTGTATTTTTAACTATATATTTAAGTATTTTTATTTGAATATTTTTAAAACTTTTTTTTTGAATAATAACATTTTGAATTTAAATAAATATGCATAATTTAATAGTTTGAATATAAAAATACTTTTTATTTACTCTTAAAAAACAGTAAATATCTAATTAGATGTTTTCATAAAAAATCTAAATAAACAAGTTCTGTTGAACATGTTAAATTAATATAGTGCTGATTTGATCGAATCAGTTATATATATATATATATATATATGACAATAATAAATATATAGGCCACCCATTCACAAAAGTTGCTGAGCCACACAATCAAGAAATTAATTTTCAATTTCCATAATCATTTGTTTACTCCTATTATTACTATTATTGCCACAATGATTGTCATAGTTTGGACCAGGAATCTGTATTCGTAGGTTAGACCAGGAATCTGTATTGGTGTATGTAGTAATGCCATTGCCAACCAAGAAAGATCATGTAAGTTCAATTCTAGAAGCATCAATGTATAATGAATTTCACATTCTTATTTTACCCAAATTGGCACATTAATTGTTTGTAACAAACAATTGAACAAAGGCCTGATGATACAAACTCAAAATTTTCATTTTGTGGAACTCATTTTTGGTAAATTAATAAATATAAAACAGGCCGGACAAAATACTTACTACAAAAGAATATACCAGAGATCAATAAAAATGGCAATTTACATCAAGAAAATGAATCAGACAAGACAGTCAGAATCAGTATCCGAGGGCAGCGTCGTCGTC